CACCACATAGATTCACAAAATTTTTAAGGGGTTTGAAAATGATTATCGACAAAGGGTGGAAAGTTTGCCTGGAACGTTTTGTGGTCATATATTTCTGATATGGTTTTTGAAACTTCACTACAATGCAAAAACAAGAAATGAATGGTGGAAGATTTTAAAATTAGATCAAAAGTAGAAAAATTGCTTGAAGTATGTCCAAAACTATGTTCAGTTCAGTTCAGTTTTATGTTGAATCGGCCGAATCGGCGTAGCTACTACAGAGCACCAAGAAGCAAATCATAATTGAAAAAACATACGAAATTTCCATCAAAACAAACGAATCTATAGATATTTTAGATAAAACAGAAAGATTTTCACCAAAAGTGTGGTTTACTTCAAGGGCAGGAGGAAACACCCCCCACCCTCCCACTCTAGACTCCGTTCCTCTTAGGCTAAACAACAACAAAATGACATAATGTTTAGTCCGTGATCAATAAATGAGTTTAAATCAACTTCCCGATGCGGATTGAAAATAAATAAACAGCTTGAATGCTGGGGGTAGATTACCATCCCAGTTACAGGAGGGAAACGTGTTATTTCAATTGCTTCTTCAGAGGCTGGACAGACACGTTATTTTTGACAACGGTCTCTGTTCGACAATAAAATAAAAATGGTTGATATGACAACCGACGAAAACACTGGAAAAGTCATTAGTCCAGTTACGACATTATCGATACAAAGAAAGGAGAGTCATCAAAAAACTTGCAAGGAGTGCAAAAATAAACACCTTAAAATCGAATCAGCATTTAGGGACATAGTTGGAAAACCTCAAAAGTCTTCTTAAGGAGTCCACAGACATTCTAAATCGGCGCTTTAATTTTTTGGCTTTAGTAAGAGGCAATTAATGGCTTAATAAAATCTTGAAATACTTCTGACAAAATAGCTCTCGACCTGCTCCTCTTATAAGTAATTGGTGATTTGGGTTGATACTAAAAAATAAATTGGCGAGCAAAAAAAATCTTTATGAAGGTTAAAGTCTGCAAGAGTCTTGAGCCAAAACAGATACAGTTGATATACGCAGAGATACTATTAACATAAATACATAAAATGACAAATATTTACCTCATTTTGTTTTCATAGATAGACGTAAGTTAGAACAGAAGCAAAAGTACTTTGGGTGTTAACACATTACCTGCCTAAATCAGGCAACGTGGAACAGGGAGGCTGTGAGGGCATTTAACCCCAACTTTTTGAAAAAAATGCAGAATATTAAGAAGTGAACCACCAGTAAAGCCTCTTTTTATTCGGTTCCAGCCCCCGCATTTTTTTTTACCCCAACTTTCTCAACGCTCCTCGGTGCCTGAGGAACACTGTACCTTCAAAGCCTTTTCCCAAATATTAATAACACTTCCGCACCCTTTCCCAGGACAATTTTGATTCATAGTTCAGAAAATATTGAGCCAAACGAAAAAACGCACTTCCTAACGTCCTACGACGTTATGGAGAAAACCGATATTTTTCCGAGAGGGAGTGTAGGATAGGTGAATTTGCTCTTGAAAACGGATTTGCTATTCAGTGAGTTTCTGGCAGAGACTGTAGGAGGTTAGAAAAGAAGGGTCTTTGGACTTTAAATTGGAGCATTAATATCCGATGTAAGATAAAATAAAGTGAATTAGAATTGCACCACGTCATAAAAGAGAGCGGAGAGGTAAAGAAAACTTTGAGGTTTTCGTGAAAAAAGGATGGGTGTGAATAAATCTATGTCAAAAATCCTGATTGTTGTCAAATCTGTGTCAAAAGGATTGTTAAGTTAAATTTCGGTTGCGCTTTCGATGAAGAAGTGTAGGATATCAAAACTAGTAGGTTCTATGATGCTCAAACCAAACAAAAATCGCCAAAAACGTTCACAATCATGGGAAGCTTTAATAAAGCCAAAAATGTCAGATACGAAGTGCAATTGCCAAATGCAGATGTTACAAAATACGAAAACCAGAGTCCAAAGATACAATGATCGAGGAGGTGCCATGAATTCTAATTTACATCATTACGAAGATATTATATTACATCATGAATGGTGGATATTGTTGTGCAAAACAGCGCACTCGCCTTGAAAATGGTAGCAGAAAATGTGCTGGTGTATGTTTCCTTAACAAGCTGTATCATGCAGTATGTAAAAGTTTACTTGACCATAAGTTGAACTCGCGACTTTAGCTAATGTGGACTCTTTCATCCGGTTTCAGACACAGCAAAAAGCATTTCTCAAAGACTTTCCTTACACCCTTTCACAACTGCAGATTTTCCCTGCTAATAAGTTTAAACATGCCAAATCTAATTGGCTGACAGGCAGTAGTCTGCCAAGAAAATGCGGCTAATTGGGTCCAAGACGTCTGCATTACAAGTAGCACCAACTATAAAAAGAATCCATTGCACCTAAGCCTTATTTAGTATATAAAATTTCGCATCAAGCTGTGAATTTCAAAGGGGCATTTAAATCTAGTTATTTTGTTTCTGGAGATCAATTTTGTCCTAAGGAGAGGTCAGCACTTGGAACAATATGGATTTTACATTGACATGAAAATCATGCAGGTCAAGGGCCCCTGTGCCGGAGGGCAGCAGGGGCAGTTGCCCCATTGCTCTTGTTAAATTGAAATTTTTTCTTTGTTTTACTATCTATATGACATTTTTCTTGGCGATTTCCTATCATTGCCCTCTTCATTGAATACAGTCATCCCTGACACAGGTCACAGATTCTCGCAAATAGAACCCCTTTAACAGAAGAAGTAGAGGGATCTTAGAAACTAGGGATGGTTTAAAGAATGAGAGAAAAATATAGCTGTTGGTGATAATGGTTGACTGAATGTCATGTCATAGACATGACAAAGTTTACATGGTTCAAAGGGGAACCAACGATCTGAAATCAAATCAAAGTTTACAAGACAGACATACAGAATACACTAAGGTCAAAACGTCAAAGTTTAGGAACAGCCTCTCAGAGTTAAGAAAGTGGGTTGGGGTGCAGTTAACTCCACTAACAGCATTTACAACTTATATCTGCATCGGATATGGCAATAAAGAGAACAACAACAAAAATGATCATGATGGTGATAATGAATGATGGTGATGATGGAGAAGACTGACTGATAGAATGTTGTTGGGAAACATTACATTTTGGAAACTCAATATGTCTTCTGTTGAAAATCATCTTTATCCTATTTGTCAAACTGGTGTCACTTCGAAATCTTCTTTCATGTCTGCTTTCATGGCAGATGCTTCTGTAAACTTAATAATTTGGTAGTTTTACTGCTTATAGAAATTGAGGGTGGTCTAAATGTCAACCACTTTAAAATGTCAACCAAAATTTTTAAAAACTCTACCCATATCCAAAAAACTACTAAGGATGATGGTCCGGAATTTTAGGATGTTTCAGTTAGAAGTTAGAACACATTGTTAAAAGTTTCTCATATCTGGGGTGCTGGATGACCTTGAGTCATATATTTAGACAGTATTTAGACATAAGAAAGAATAAAGGCTTTTAGTTTTTAGATCAGGTCTGAAAAGGTAAACAGGGCTAAAATAACAGCTAACTTTTAATGCTTCTTTGCAAGCTAGGCCTTGGAAAAGTCAATAGTATTTACAATTTAAGTTTATCTGGCATGAGTGTTTAGATTGGGGAAGTTGAACATAGTTTGTGTTTTCTGAAGACAGTTTTATCAGAAAGGGATGGATAGATTGGAAAGCAAATAGGCCCCAGAAATATGTAAGGGATTGCAACAAAATGAGATGATGACTAAGTCTGAATGGAATACAGGAAGTGAACCAATATTACAGGAAGTGGTGAGGAGAGGTGAATTTAAAAGGAGACAAATTCAAAAGGAAACTGATTAAGAGAAATGAAGGGGAGACAGCAGGAAATAAAGAGATTTCATCAAGGAAGTTATTTTCTAAGGCAACTGTATTCAACCAGCATAAAGTATAAATATTTTGCATTAATAAGATCATTTATTGTTTCATTAAAAAACTCCTGTCAAATCTATCAACAAAAATTGTTTGGAAATCAGAACTGGATGCACTGCCTGATGACAGTGGTCCCATGCATTTTTATTCATTACACAGGGACTTCTAGAAGTATTCGAAAAATTAATCATGATTTTTATGCCAATGGTCTTTTTAGGGGGTTTTGTAAGTTAACAATGTTAATGAAAGAAGAATGAAAGGAGTCAAATCTGATAAACAAAACATGGCAGACCTGTAAATTCTCATACATTTTGTGCGAGTCTCACACATTTGAGAAGGGATGGCCACTTGAACATAAATCAAACAATAGAACTTACTACATGAAACAACAGATCCAAACTTGACAAGTAAGAGCATGGTTATGATGCTCATGACAACCCTTCCTATTGGCAAAAGATCGTTTCCAAGAACAGGGCCTTAAAAAACAGAATTATAAAACCACCTGCCATCTACCATTAGAAAATATTAATAATTCAAAAGATTTTTTGATTTACTTCCTTGTTTCCGTAGGTTAGAATTTTATCAAATTTAACGTCAAACCTCAATTTAGGTGTACCTTAAAAGCTCAATTTAGGTATATATTCTTGCTTAATGAAAAAGAAGTCAAAACAACACAGCGTAACTAAACTATCCCTCCGTCAAATTCTTTGACAGTCGATTGGAACAAAAAAATTTTGTGGAGCAGCAAACAGCATGTTTATTTATAATGTTGAAATTTTATTATGTGATGAAGGACTCAATTGTTTGCAAGCAAAATGTAGACAATTCGTGATATTTCCCCCGGTAATGAATAATAAACGCAAAATAAACGCAATGCTGAACACACTACTGCCGGGCGATTAACGGTATTTGAATAGGAGAAAATTTCCGCGCCGTATTGTTTGTCGACGAGTCGTCAAAAATTTTGTGACCAGAGCGTCAGAGGGGTAGGTAGGCCTGTTCTTGAAATCTGGATAAACGGACAGTTTGAAATGAAAGCGGTAACTAAAGATGAAATTTCCACATACCTTGAAAGTGTATCCTAGTATCTTTAAGCCTCTGCTGTATCTGGAAAGTTTGAAAATTCTGAAAACTCTCACAAGACGCAGTATCCTTAAGATCGACAGGCTACCAACGTTGGTGTCGACTGAATTCAAGGCCAGCGTAATATAAAATGGCATTATAGCCACTAAATCGATCACATTTAACGGCTGGTATAAAAATTTAAATTTCTCGGGACAGCTGAGCAGCCTGACACAATATTCCAATGTAAACCAAACAATACAAAACATTTCAACTCCATTGAATACCGATGCATATTCTCGTTTTAAACGTTCCCCTTTGTCAGTTTTAGAAATGACCGTCCCGTTCGCATCTTTGTTTATTTGATAGTAAGTCTCTTTAAAATTGGGCAGAGTTTCAACGCAAAACATAGTAATTGATAATATGATAACAAAAACAGAAAAAATGGCAACAACTCGAGCGTATGTTGACGTATCCGGGTACTCAAAAAGTTCCCATATTTTTCGCTGGTGTTTGTTTTTAGGTAGTATTCTTTGAGGCTGCTCTGGGCCAGGCGCGACATGCATATCTGATTCATCCTCAAATCCAAAGAAGCGGAGCTCAGCTGAGAAAATTCTATCGTCTAAAGTCGGGGGTTTTATTAACACACCAGTTTGACAGTAAGTCAAAATTGCACTGAAAGCTTTACGATTTCGGTCGAAAAAGTATTCTTTGTTCAGGGGATCATAGAAAACATTCCGATGCGGCAGCGCGAGAAGACTGTCAGGAAATTTATCCAAAGTCGCGTCATATGTTTCATAATGTTTTCCAGATATATTGAATACAACGCGGTTCTGTGGTCCATTTTGTGAGTCGGTTTGCATTTTCGCCATCTCGACATCGTTCTTAGTGAATCCTTCACCCATTATGCCAGCGAAAAGGTGATCAATGCCCCGTCCAGGGCCTAGTAGTTGTCCAATAACTCTGCGGTTATCTTCCGAGGATGTCCTCTGCCTGATCGATGTCTCCGGTTTCAACTTTGACGCCCGCTCACCTTCGTGAGGATTCCTGCGCTCCTCTGTTGACGACGCCCTGCTATTTGGGTTTGACCATTTGTGCCTGGTGGCCTTCCCTTCCTCCTGAGACCTATAAGATACAAGAGAAGGACTTCTTCGCAAATTGTGCAGCAAATTATTGTTTGAGCTCAAATCTGCGATAATTGACGTGTCGGCGGCTACAAAATTCATCTTTGTTTGTTTAGCCCCAACGGTAATATCGACGATATTTATTGCTCATAACTCAAGCTGGTAGCAATAACACTAAATAACAAGAAACCAGCTCCAGCTAACAGTTTCATACGACCAGAGCTCCAGTAAATCTTCTCCTTCTCCTGCCGCGCGAATAACTTGAAACAAATGGCAAAACATTCCCAGATTTCATATGAAGCTACCCATGCATGTAAACATTATCTAAATTATTATGTTCCCGAACAGAAATCTTTATCTTCGCAGGATGCTATTTTTCATACAACATAAATCCCTGAACATCCTTTTATAAGATTGTATATAAGCTCTATGCAATAATGTGAGCATATTGTCATCGACAATCGCTAAAAATTCCTGAACGTAATTTTTTCATGCTCATTGTCCCATTCTTCTTTTCTTATGTTATTAACCAAAAAACAACAATCATTCAATAGTCCGTGCACGGAATTTTCCTTTGGAAGAAACTGTTGTTATTTGAAGCATTCAAGCCTCACATCGCATAAGCTTTCCAGAGTCAAGAAAATACCATGGTCCCACGGCCACTGGCCGGTGGAAGGTTGTAGAAAACAAAAATAAATTGAGGAAGGGTACCAAAAGTTTGAAAATTTGAGGAAGTTGAAAATATCGTATTGCCTTTTGGCTTTCAAAATAAAGTCAGACAATAAAAAATCGAATAATTTTTATAAACCTCCTGTTTTTTATTATTTAATGTTTTTGCATAATTGCTTTGCACTGTAAAATTTAGGCATAAACTTTTTATTATATATATATTTCAGTTATGACACACTATCCTTATCAATTTACATAAGCATGTAATTTTGAATCTGTCTCAAAAGATATCTCTAATTGAAAACAAGCTGCGATTATTTGGAAATGTTTTGGAAATAAGTTGAGTCGCCAAAATTTCCTGACCACGTCCATTTTTAACCCATTAACAGATCAGGAAAGTTTTAAAGTAAGATTTGCTTGGCCGGAGGAAGGTTGACAACCTTTTTGGACTCTACAGCTTCCCCCCGCAAGTCCATCCCAAAGAAACTCTCTCCTCTCCCATGAAAACTGCTTCCCTTCATCTGCGATTAAGTACAAACTTTTAAGAATTTGTACAGGAACGCAAGGTTCGCTAAGTGTGGGGGAGTCACCCCCATCCCCCTAAATCTTTGATATTCTGTAAATTAGTCGGAAAATTTGAGAGCAATCAGAAAATCTAAGTTGTACATTAAGTACCACAAATCTCGGTGGGATTCATTTTCGGTGAAGCAGGGCAACCGAAAGTTATTTACACCGAATTTTTTCTAATTTCTAATTTTCAGACGCTATAGAAAAATCTCGTTTACGCCTCTCAAAAAAACCAAAAAATTTTTCTATTGATATTGCTAGAGTATTACTATACATCCAATGCGTATCAAATTTCAGTTTCTGGTTCTCCTTCGTCATCAATAAATAAGACATCCAGCTCATCTTTACTTCCTTCTCTTTCGCCCTCTACATTCAAGTTATTTGAGTTTTCTATGGGCTAACAGATGCTCCTACTGGCACTTCATTATTTCTCTCAATTATCTCTTTTTAACGTTTCAGTGATTTCTATTTTGCGAACCATAAACCTTTCCAATTTATTTTCCATGGCTTATAAAAAATAAAATAAAAAAGACCTCTTCTAAACAAGATTTTACGCCGTTCTTGCCTACTCTTCAGTGCCATTTATTTAGCTGACATCAAAATGTTCTATTTTTGTAACCTTTTTTATTCCGTTCCAGTTAATTCTTTTTTTGAAGATAGAAATAACTTACAGAAAGTATTTCACTTCTTTACGCACAGGAGTTTTTTGCCACCGAAATATTTCAAATTCCAAATGAAATTTCATGAATGTGACCGAATTTTTTTCCACCAAAAGAAGAATCCACCGACATTTTTGGCACCACACGTTTTGGTGCTTCATGTAATTCCATTGCTTATTGACGTCAGAGAATCATATAACAAAACGCTTGTGCCGAGAAATCTCGAAATTTGGAAAGGAAATGGCTGAACTGTATAATCTTTAGGTTCTGTAAGTAAAAGCTTAGTAGAATTTTAATAAAAAATTACTATTGACTTATCATCAGTAGGAAATTTCGTACCCTTGACTCTCCCAAAAATACCCGTCAGTTATTCTCTGAACCTGGTTTACAATTGATTCAACTGACAAACTAAACTTCAATCCAAAGACTAAGCGGACGAGTAGTGACAGGCAAACATTGGTGAACAAAATATTTACAAAGGAATCCACGTCGGTATTCTGTAAACGCCAAAAATGAGATGAAGGCCAGGCTTAAGTTATTGGAATCCTCTAGACTATGCAACGGGCTGGGCATTGTTTAACCAAAAGCGGGGTCACCCTATTACAAATATGATATTGCTGCAACTTATCTTTTATGCAGTGGCGTAGCTTGATCTTCCAGACAGGGGGGAGGGGCGATGGCGGCGCCAACCACTAGGATCTGGGGGGGGGGTTTCTAGATCGGGACAATTTGTTTGACTGTGTGATGTTCAATGTTCTGTGAGGACTAATCACATCTCCAGAACGCTAAGCAGTTGAATCTCGTTTGATCGGAACTCAGAGGTAAGGAAATGGTCCAATTTTTTACCGGAAACAGGTAGAATAATCCAATCAGAATAGAAAGTTCCAGTTATCTGTAGTACGACTCAACATTTTTTTTTGCAGTTTCATGAACATGAACAGTTTCATGAACAGAATTACAGTTCGAGCGACTGTAATTCTTTAGCAAGGATTTTGAGTTCCTGCAATTCTTAGGTTAACTAAAGATATCGCTGTATCAAAATTTTGAAATGCTCTACAGACAGTGGCATTTTGTATGTAGGAGGTGTTCCATCCCCTACGCCCCCAGTAGTTTCGCGCTTTGGGGTATAATCAAGATGCCTTAAGAATGGGTGAGTCCCTCAAGTTTTCAACTGTTTCATATTTTCATGGATTTCACCATCCCCTCACAATACCACCCTCCTTCTCTTGCAAACGAGCAAAACGTTTTAGCTTAATTCCAAGCCTCGTGCTCTCTGTGAATTCAATTCTTTGTTCTATATACTTCTCATACCCTGGATGCTAGTATTTCAGGGGATTTTGCCCAATGCACACAATAGAAGATTCCACTGAATGATACTATAATTGATTTTGTTTTACGTCAGAAGGTAAAAAGATTTTGCAACCATGAACCACAAATCTTTCATAAGAAGTTTTTAGGCAATTACGCTGAGGTTTGATGTCGCAACTTCTTACAACATTGAGGAAAAATTTCAACAATTCTGGGAGATCAAAAAACTTCTTTGACATAGAGAAACCTGAAAATGGATTAGATTCAAGCCAATTGGGCGCTGAATTGTTGCAATGCTTAAGACTGTTTTCCAGTTACGTTCTTGTACGTAAGAGAATCAAGTAAAAAAGCATATGTTTTGCACTTGAAGGAACCTTGTTCACTTTTATTGAATCCGTTATCGACCTTGAGCTGGGGACAGCTCTGTCTATGACGTCATATCATAATTGTTCTCTCACACTGCAACTTCGGAGCCTGAATGTGACATGTAATAACGGGGTTATGCTGGCGTTTACGTGAATGCGATGTTCGACTGTGCTTTAAAACAAAGTTCCCTCGAGTGTCGCCATCGTGGTGAAGACGGGAATTCAAGTCATGATATGAACAAGTTGGAGTTTTAACAGAGGAGGAAATTAAGGGAAGGATGATGATACAGCCATGACTTTATTAGTGAAAATTCCAAACAAATTTCTTCGTTCGATCATTAATAAAACAAAAATATTGTCTCTGGTCCTGTCATCGTTAAAACTTTCAAACAGTATCATTCAAGACATTCTAAAAAACTTTCTTCTGCCAATCCTTCTACCAATTAACAGCTGTTGTTATCACCTGTTTTGGAATGGTATTTCATGATTCGATAATCATGAAGTTAGCCCTCCTCCCTGGCTTTTCATCAGACGTATTTCCCTGGGTACCAGACTCACTATATATAAATTAAAATAGAGAGTCTGGTACCCAGGATACAGACGTATCAGACAGACGTAGGCCTTTACTTCATGACTGTCCTGGAGATGACGACATTATCATTGACTAATTCTATTTTAAGCATAATGGTAATAATGATAAAAATTTTTTAATGTTAGTTTCACAATAGTGAGAACACTAATATACATCAACATGAAGAGATTTCAGAAATTGCATTATGCAAGTTATTGACTGTAACCGTTGCAGGCTCATTTTATTTTTAATATTTTATGAGAACTTTGAGTTGAGTTGCATTTTGGATGACTTTATTTCATTTGGAAGATAATTCCAAATCTTTTGGGCCCAAAAGATTATAGATTTTGTACCATTTCTTCGAATATTATAGCTAATGGATTTTGGGAGATAATGGCTAACTGATTAACGTCGCCCTCTATTGAACGTTGTACCTTGAAAAGCGGCGTTTATTAGAAAACACACCAAACAAGAAGTAACGAATAGTTTATACGCTAACTATGCGAAAGCAATGAAAGCCATTGTGTCATAGAGACGAGGACTCTAAGGGCCTGTTTATATGGAGAAAATCATCCCACCTTCCAGTTTGTGAGCTGAGAGGTGAGATCCCACTCTTCTATAGAATCCTTTGTGTTTTTCGTTTTGCGTTTATATGGAAAACAAGCTAGCCCGGTTAAGTAGGGTCCCGCTGCCTGGGAGGTGGGATCTCACTGAGGTGGGATGAACTTTTTCTATATAAACATTGGAAGGTGGAATGAAGCTGGAAAATGGGATGAAATGTTTATATAAACGCAATCAAATTTCGTTCGATTTGTCAGCACACAGGCTGGAAGGTGGGACGATTTTCTCCATATATAGCTGGAAGGTGGGATAGAATCAGCATGTGTGGAAACTGCCCTATTAAAATTGCTCCATTGAGATAGAACTGCCCGAATGGAGCCTGAACTGCAATAAATGCTTAGAAGGGCTGCAGCTCTCCCAATCCCATGTCTTCTACACCTATTTGTTCGGGAAACAAGCAAGAGAATGTTTTTTACTGAGTGAGGCAACCCTCTGTCCTGGAGTCGAACAGCATGCACGGAGGGTCCCTAACAACGATGATCCGATGATTCCATCTCACTTGCCAGATTATGGGCTGAAAGCTGGGGACACTTTTGCTCATATAAACAGACCCTTACAAGTAGAGTTTCTTCACTGCTTACATTTATTTTAAAGCCACCGTTTATGTAAAATTCTCGTTAAAGATAATTTGTCGTTATTACTAACAATTAGTGACTGAAATTTAGATTGATTGGCTGTCATACGAAATCAAACCATTTAATTTGGCAAAAGAATTGCTTAGAAAAATATATTTTCATAGACGAATAGCGGAATAAACACACAAAAGGCATTTCATCAGAAATTTTTAGTAAGTCCCCTTCTGGAATAGTCCTGCTCTGAAGTTTTAATAAGTTCCAACTTCGGGGCCTAATAGAACTTTAATGATATCTTCGCTATAACATAGAAGTTGGTTTATTATTGTTTGATAAGTATGACATGCATTTCTTATTTAGTTTTTTTTATTAAAAATAAGGTTGACCCTTTCATTAAGTAGAATAGCTTCATGTGTGGAGCATTTCATTTACCCAGTATTCTCTTTCATTCACCCAATTCTTGACAAAATGATAAATCAAGAGTTGGCTATTTCATCCCATTTGCAAAAACTATTGCTTGTCTTTCAATAGTTTATAGAACGTTTTCTATGCGCTTTACCTTGTTTTAGAGCATTAACATCTCTTCAGCTCCAAAACACATCAAGCAATGAACATGCTCTTTGTGACTTATTAGGTGTTCTATCTTATGTATATTTTTGAAATCAGCAAAGAAATTAAACAAATGGATGTTAATCCCGAGCTTAGTTTCTTATAAAAAATGAGTGTAGTTTTGCCCACCAATTTCTTCAAACCCTATTTCCCTCCATAAACACACAGCTGGGATGATTTCGATATCCTAACTGACTGTGTTTGTTAGGGATCCTCCGTCCTGGAGTCAGAGAGAGAGAGAGAGCATGCGTAATTATATCTCCCTTCAATGCGCATGTTGTTTGATTCCAGGACAGAGGGTTGCCTCACTCAGTAAAATACGTTCTCTTACTCGTTTCCTGAACAAATAGGTGTAGGAGATATAGGGGCTGGGAGAGTTGCAGCCCTTCTTATCAGGCAAAATTTATCGCAGTTAAGGTTCCATTCGGGCAGTTCTATCTCAGTATAAATTTTAAGCAATTTTGATCTGGTTTAGTTTGCCCTAAAATCTTCATAATAGCACAATTACACTCTTTTTTACAAGAGAATACTATAAATTTTCTCCAGCCTAAATATTCTCATGAAATGTTCGTTTTGAGCCTAGCCTGAATATATTCTAAAAGTATTCTTATTATTTTCAAGTCTGATCTTTTTGAAAAATGTGATATGTCGAACATGTGATTCTCTAATGTGAACATCGCAAAACAGGCAACTGCTGGAAAATGAAGCAAAAATATGCGGGCTGAGGCTGAACAATATCTAATGATATTCTTAAAAATTGGGTGATTCTCAGCCTTAATATTCTTATAAACAACATTCCTATAAAAAGCGTGTAATTGATGCTAAAAAGCTAGCGTTATAGGACTTGAATGACTAGACTTGAATGAGAAAATTTCTTCTGCCGTGATGTTGCAAAGGTTAATAGGTTTCACTTCTTTAATCTCTTTTACGAAATTTGTCACGTTTCAAACACAAGTCAACTCATTCGCCATTTAAGACTGTTGGTTACAAAATTTGATTCTTAAACTATGGAAATGACAGAATACGACATACCACGTGTCATCATCACTATACTCTACTTTCAAACGCCTAGTAGGTTCTGTGCACAAAGACTGCAGCATAAGTACCAAAAATCTATGGGATAACTTGAAAATCATGTAGAAAGCAAGCAATTATGTGACAAAGCAGAGCCAAGTGAACCTCTAGATGTCGTGTCTTCAAATTGACGTTTACATTGACTGGACCAAATTCATAAGCAAGATATTAAGTGATCGAGATATCATGCAGAGATCTAAAACCATCATTTGCATAACTGCATAAAGCTTTAAGCAGCTATGTGTCACGGAATTCATTATTTGATATTAGTTCCAACACTATTTTTAGTGGCAAGTGTTGGTTTGGAGAGCAGTAAGTAGGATTAGAACAATATTCAAATAAAGTAATTTTTAGGTTGTGTTAAATCCTGCAGAATATAATGATGATAAGGTATTTATTCTGCAGATTAGAGAATTATTAATTTAAACTTTGGATTGCTTTTTAATGTACGAGGCGGGGCCAACTGGAGGGCTGGACCGCTTAGGAACTTTGGAATTCTAAGAGTTTTAACACAGCGAAAGTATAAATTATGATGATGGCAAGATAGGTTTGTCCCGTATGAATATTATATACCTTCAGCGTACACATGTTCGACAGCTACTTATTAAAACTTGGGCTTTTCTTCAAAATTTGGATTTGAATCAAATTTTGTTTTGTTGTGAATATTTGGGTTTTAATCATGATTTTATGTTAGTTTAAAAATTTGGTTTGTCTTCAAAGTTCGGTTTATTATCAAAGTTTCTGTCTTCGTCATTTTTTTGGTATTTATCAGAACATTTGTTATTATCAAAATTTGGGTTTTTATTAATATTTGGGCTTTTATCAAATTTTAAGCTTTTATTTGGATTAAAGAAGCCGGCCTTTTCGTAGCAGATTGCGTTTTGGCTCAAGATTCAAGCCATGGCTCAAGATTTTTTGCAACACTTCTCATAGAATCTAGCTGACTACCAGTAATCAAATTATCTATGTAAAGACTAAAGAAGGGAATGTGTCTGAAAATCCCTAGAATACATACGAGCAGTGGCGGTTTTAGGGGGTCCGGGGGGACCATGGCCCCATGCCCCGCACTTATGATAGCCAAAAGGGGCCCCACACCTGAAAAAAGGTGGAAATTGTGAAGAACAAGGGCCCCACAGCTGATTTTGGCCCCGGGCCCCGCAGTCCCTAAAACCGCCAGTGCATACGAGTATCCTAAGGTTTGGAGCGTCCAAGAAACAGAAAGTATTACGCATCGTTGAGGTCGACTCTTCATAATACCAATGTTTTGAAATGCAGATCAATATTTATGGGGAACAGAGATTAAAATGGCTTTGAAAAAGCAAACATTTTGAAAAATACCCTAGCTGTGTCGAGAATCTTTGCTTTTTCCAAAGCAAGACCCTTCCTTGAAACGCTGTTTTGGCAAAAAGAGAAAGGAGATAAAAAATAGCGAAGGTAATTGCACCTTGCTTAAGCGAAGCATAAAGCGTAAGTTTCACTACCAGGTAACAAGGCAAGTGGAACGAATTGGAAAATGTTTTGCTGCTGAATTTTCATAAAAGCAAAAAGCTGTTTAATCCACTTGACCCAAACAGTCCTCCACACATTATTTTCGGGAATCAAGAAAGATTCCGGATTAGTTTTATCAGCTTCTTAGAGTAGGTCATAGCTCAAGTCAGCCAGGAATAGAGGACACGATGATCAACCAGCTCTGATTGGATCTACTGCTTTGAAAAAGAGAGCACGGTAAGCAAAGTGCACTGCACAGAAAAAGATTGTGGTACATAGGTTCTTGTGCGAAGAACATTGTATTATAGTACCGTTCAATAATTGTTTTAGTCATACTCCAATGATGGAGTGAAGTTGAGCAAACAATAAAAAGGCTGACTTAACACCATATTATATCGTTCAAGCAAGTAGAAGGAATTCAAGTATGTGAAATCTGGCATGCAAGCAGAAAGTAAGCTAGCTCGATTTCAGAACAGATCATGATGGTTGGTTGGTTATGAAACAGTTGATATGTATCAGGAATTCAGTTACCAATACTTTTTGCAAAATTAAAGAAAGTCCAGTGTTTTGAATGAGTAGAGCATCGTATAAAGACTATGTAAAATTCAATATGAGTGAGCAAAATGGTGTCCTTTTTTGCACCAAAAGAACAGCGTGCAAGTTTTTCGTCCTAGAAACTGGTACCAAAAGGCTCTGTGATCTCTTCAAATCAAAGTTCATTTGTAGGTTTGTTCAAATGAGTGAAGCGTTTCAAAATGGCAACCGAAGGTAACGATGAGAAAACGAGGCAGCGAGTCTTTCGGATAGTGGCTTTTCCAATATTTTCTCTTGTTTCTTTGCTTAAAAAGGTAATTGGGAAGCATAAAATGATTGTGAGAAGAAAAAAGTAAGAAGACTTCGTATTTCTTCGAAGTTCATCAGATTCATCATGGTTCATCAAAACATTGTCTTCGAGGATGAATTAGGATGAATCACAAATTTCGATGAACTTGCAGTTGTCATCAAATCGTGAAACAAGGAATACGATAAAGTTTGACAAAATATGAACGGCCCAGTCGTTGGTTCCTTAGTTCCGAAAAATTTCAAGTAAATAACACCAATTTCTCAAAAGAGAATAACATCAATAACATCACATGCGTATCGGAGAAAAAAACTACTTTTTGCAACAAGGATATCTATCTGTCTTTTCCAGTAAGAAAGAGGCTACGAAAGTAACAGGGATATTTGGTGCTATTTGAGATAAGCTGGTACAAAGAGAAAACATTTATAAAGCACCAGACAAAAACTGCGATGATGTAATTTACAGCGTCATAGAGTCTTTATGGAAATATTGCATTATTGTCAAGGAAAGAGCCTTTAATGCTTTACCCTATATTCCCTGCTGTAAATGATAGGATCAGAAAAGTTTGTACTTCTTATGACGTCAAACGAAAACGCTACGAAGAAACGTTTAATGGACGAAGCTTTTGGTGTCCTAAGCTCTTCTGGGTTAATATACAGTTATAAAAAAGCTTTTTTGGAATATTATCAACAACATAAAAAGTTATAGGAAATGTGCTATAACTATAAAAACTTCAAAATGACATGTAAAATTCTGTAAAGAGCCAGTTCTTACAACGCATATGCTCGATAAAATGGTAATTGCCACAAATAGCATTTGGAACCCGTCGAAAAAGTCAATCAGCTAGGGAAAACTAAACATGGTGCATCTTGTAGTGAAATATTTGTCAGAGCATGGTCAATGTGGTTGTAATAGGGTCAATGTCAACGAAAGAAGGCTGAGCACCACACCCAAAACCTGTCTAATTTGCCTTTTTCCCAAGGCTTCTCAAACTTAACGAAATGAATGGAGAAAGGATAAATACTTTGATACACCTAGTGACTGAGACACTGATAACGTGTCAGCCAATTTATCCTTTGAAAGTACAAACCATTGGTTTAGGCTTCATACGAACATTCTATAGGGCTAAACATTTTCAGGGGCAGACACCAATATTTTTTCATCATTCGGTGAATTTTGCTTTGATCCAGTAAGCAAATTTTTTTGGTAGTCAGTAGCAATCAAATAACTCGAACATTTTACTTCTTCAAATCTTCTTTATCGTAGAGTTAAAAATGGAACTGTTTAAAAGAGGGCGGTTCAATTTTTTGCTAGGCACCAAAATCAAACCATTATCTAAGACACCCCTGTCCCTGGCTATTTTGGTATTCTCCTTAGTTTGTATTGCTGGATTCAATTCGCTTCGTCACATGCGTAAAGTCGTGAATTTTGAGCTGGATTTGGCCGAAATGGGAGAGAGAAGTGTAAGCATTCAGAACAAAGAAGTATTCCACACTGAGATTTCATAAAGGAGATTTGCCCTAGTTTCTTATCATACTCAAACTTATAGCTTTGCAAAAAGTGAACTTGATTATTTCACAACTTGATGTCATGCTATAAGATAACATATTCTATAAGTCTCAGGTATGAGGAATACAATTATGTAGTGGAATTAGTAAACCCTGGCATTGTAGACCTTTGTCTTTTTAAATAGCATATTCATCTGTGTTTACGGGAAAATTTCAATATAGGATAAGCCTTTCTTAAGAACTTCCTTTTGACCATTAAATAACTGCTCAAGCAGAATATCATTCCGAAGAGGAAGTGGTCAGCGGAAACAGAAAAAGATAGCTCAGGGTACGATTTTGCTTCAGGTAACTATCAGGAAACAGTAATGGAGAATGTGGATCGCTTTTATGTGTCGTGAATCGACAAATCCACGATAAAAAATCTTGGCATGCGCACTTTGAATTTAGTATTTTGAAAAAAAGCTCCCTAGATATGAGAGCATTTTGTCAAGATGACCTGCACTCGTTGCGGCCCTCAGCTCTTTGATACTACCTTAATACTTAAAAAGAATTATTATTAAAACACAGATTAGCAAATTTGCTTGTTGATTTGTTGTTAAAATGAAGCCTTGTTCCCTTCAATTTATATAGCAAAATTGCCCAAGGTAACAAGCCGAATTTCTCTGGTGAGTTATCCGATTAATTTTGGATAGTTACGGGAGCTTGAGTAACATCACTATTCATTGGCAATGGCGCACCCAAGAGAGGCAGGCATGGTAGCGCTGTGGGCGTACCTAGCATTAGATCTTTAAATTCATATACCGTAAATCCTCGAAATGCCCCCCCCCCTCGAATAAGCCCCTACCTTAGAACTACAAATTGTCAGTAAGCCCCCCCCCTCGAATAAGCCCTCACTGCTACCGTAAATCCTCGAATTCGCCTCTCTCGATTTGTTGATTTTTGCCATCTGATGTTGCTTTTGGCGTTTTATTGAATTATCACAAAAATTCATACTTTTGGTAGCAATTAATTAAATTTTCATAAAGAAATTCTTACTAAAATATACGAGGTCGTTTATTAATGTCTTCTTAATGTCTACAATAATTTTATAAGCCCTCTTGCATAAGCCCCCTCGAATAGCCCCCCCCTACAAAAATAAAAAAGCCCCCAGGGGGCTAATTCGAGGATTTACGGTACTGGTAATGATGATAGTGCTGGTGAACATGGTATTTTAGGATAATTTTTGCGCACCGGCACTGAGGTTCGGGCTGTTATCACAAAAGATCTTATCAAAATCAGCCAAGCTCTGCAAACTGATTTATTCGGTTGCCATTTTGATTAAGGGTTTACTTTTCTAGTGTAAAATCATAAATACTGCAATATCACTAAACATCATTTACAACATCGAGGGAGATTTGATTTCTTGCGCAAAATTTATTTTTTTAAGCTTCGAAACATAAGCTATTCTGTAATAGCGATTTGTTTATGTAGCCAGCTTGTGTAGTGTTTGTGGGTTCAGTGGTGGTAGGTAGTAATGAAATAAAGCTGTCTGAAACCATTGAAAAAAACCCGTTATATAAGATTACAAACCGTAGGTCAGTTTCCTTGTGGCAAGACTAAGAAGTCATAGAACATTAGCGAAGTTGCAAGTCCATATCAATCAAGGGTGCAGCCCTAACAAGTTCGAGGGGGGCTTTGCTGTAGGCAACTACTAGAAGTCACACCCATCATGACCACACCCATGACAATACCCAATAAACTCGCATCTTTACGATAACTGCCCTTCGGTAGAATTGTCAACAAGAAAAGTTTTGTTGGAGGTATGGGGGTGATTAACTCTGTTTACACCCAACAAAAATTTCTGCAGTTCTCAACAGTTACTCGGGCTTATTACTGCCATTAGAAGAGAGAGGGTTTAAAATTCTAAAGATCTTTGTTAGGAGGGGACCATCGGGAAATTTCCTGGTGTCCCGGGGGTAACTACGTTTTCTGGGCTGGGGTGGGATAGGGGCTCTTGAAACGCTGATTGTCGGACAAAGATTTAAAAACACATTTATAATGGCTATAACAGCTAACAAACACGCGCTTAAAATAGTTTTTTTTTTAAAATTGAAGCGTTTTAATCCAGTTTAGATATTCGTTTAATAAACAAGATGTCGCCTCTTGTGCGCTAATGAACAAAATGTTGCTTTTTCTCAATAATTTCTAAATTTGTTTTTACAAGCAATTTTGCCTAGATGCCTCTCACCACGTAGTGTCTCTTGAAATGCCTTTCAAATTCATAGATAGCATTGAAAAAATAAAGAAATTTAACATGACCGCTTCGAATACCGCGATCATGTCTGACTTGAGGATTTCATTAATCGAATCAAGTAGAACCTTGTCTTTTGTCTACAGAGACGATTGGTTTCGGTCCTACACAGTATACACAGTTTGTTCCTTAAATTTTAGCTACAGAGCAGCCATGCTTGTTAGTATCTTTATAACGTATGCATAGACCAATACTTAGTTGGAACTTTAATCCAGCAAGCAAGAAGCAAGCCAAAGCATCTAGCGGATCCGTATTTACGAAGCTAGAATGAATATTAACCTGTCAAATCGCTCACGAGGCGAAGCTATTAATGCTAATAATCATTAATAGTAGCACAAAGATTTGCTATAATTCAATTGAACAAATATGGATGTATGAGAAATGATAATATCGATCTCCTACCGGCAGGGGAGTTTTGAGGTCATGTTTCCAAAATGTTCCATTATCTTCTTCCTCATTACAAATATGCTGACAGGCTGTCTTCTTGATCAGGTCCTACACGCGTTGAATGATATAATATGAGTTACCCACAACTGTTTCTTGCATCCCAAACGTATTCAGAACAAAGGCTTGTGACAGCACACCGGCGATGCAGTGGTTTGTTATTCCTCCGGGGGACTTATCCGTATTTTAATGTCAACAAAACACTTTTCGCTGCTTTCATTTTATCCAGTCGGATTTCATCCGATTTATCGCGATAAGGGAATTATGAAGTTTTGGAAATTCTCTCGAGATGTCTATAAACGTTTTAATCGTGGTTTAATTGATCTGCATGCCAACCATTTAGTTTAAATCCAGTATCGATATCTAACGAAATCTAAAGGCTACCGCAAGAAAACAAACGCTGTCCTGGGAATCCGCATTTGCAGTTGCCCACAATGTGGGAAAAATAAATGCAGAGTGCAGAACAAAGTCGGGGTTTTCATTGCAGAGTTCTGTTCAGACAACCCCAACATATTGAGCGTTCGACCCAAACAACTCTTAAATATACTGGATTTAGAGCCACTGGTCCCAAACGTAGCCCAATAACTGCACAAGAAGTCAACCTAAACTGAAAATTCCTTCTGAAATCTAGACTATTGCTGAAAATCGTTTGAAGATTGTTTCATCTTTTAAAGTTAGAACGGCATCGGTGCAACGAGCGTTTAGTACAAGGCGTGGCATCTGCATTGTCAATTCTTGCATCGTATTGAATGGTTAGACTTAACATCAGAGTGATTAAATAAGTTTGAGGCTTTAGAAATGATTGAGTGATTCAACAAGGTTTGAAGCTATTAATGATTCAATGAGTTCGAAACTTTCAATGTTTCAGTTATTCAGTGAGTTTGGAGCTTTCAATGTTTCAATGATTCAATGAGTTTATAACATTTCAGTTATTCAGTGAGTTTGGAGCTTTCAATGTTTCAGTGATTCAATGAGTTTGAGCCTTTAAGTGATTAAGAGATTCAACGAGTTTGAAAATTTTAATGTTTCTGTTATTCAATGAGTTTGAAACTTTTAATGTTTCAGCGATTCAATGAGTTTGAAGCTTTCAATGTTTCAGTGACTCAACGAGTTTGAAACTTTCAATGTTTCAGTGACTCAATGAGTTTGAACCTTTAAATTATTAAGCAATTCAATGAGTTTGAAACTTTCAATGTGTCAGTGTTACAGTAAGATTAAAGCTTTCAAGAGGATAAGTCTTGAGAGAATAGAAAAGGAATAGTAAAGAACATCTTCCTGTCTTGACGAATTTCGAAATTGCAACTGCATGAAACAGTGTTTGTATTTGCAACGATTTGCAACGACTGGCTTACGCTTGAGAAGTAGAAGTAAAATTTTTTCATCAAACTCTGAGCTTCGGTGGCTTAAAATGTTCAATTTTTTTTAAATTTCATAATAAGAAGAGGAAAATAAACAGTGTAGCTCAGTTTCACTCAGTTTCGCCCAGTTTCAGTTCTTTCCCTGTAACAACTTTAAACTTTCTCGTGTTGGTAATCAACGAGAATGCACTTTTGGTATAAGAGGGCTTTTTTGTAAGGTAATACAAATGTAGCAAAGCCATTTACAAAATCTTAAACGACTCAATTATGAGCAAATCGCCAGAAAAAAGGGAAATCGATAAATTGAAAGGAGTGTCTGGAAGAAAAACATTTCTATGTAGTGTGCTACAAGATCACAGTCTGGAACCTATATTGTTCCTCCGCATACATAGTGAGAATTCTACCCATGGCACAAACGTCAAATCAGTCAAACTCCAGCTTATCGTCTGGGCGAACGTAAATATTTACTCATTTTGAATACTATATGCCCAATAACGAAAGAAACATATAAAAGATTCCTCGCGCAAGTTAGATTTTCAATAAAACTTAGAAAACGTTATTCTTCTTTATTCATATATTGTTTGCCTTGACGAGACGGCTGACCTGATTCATCATTGCCAAAATCTTCAGTCTTTGATCTTTTTCCCTATGTGTCTTTACGGCCAGAAAACTAGGCATGTGTACTGTAGGGTTAACAGTATTTTATTACTTCAAGTGAGAGGGTAAATTCTACCTAAAAAGTTTAAGTAACCCTTATTTGTGCAACAAGCGGTAAAAATACTTGTCAAGTTCAATGAGTTGAACTGTTAGTTCGAATCCCAAGTGTTAATGGTTGCATCCCCCGTTTCCTAGGATGAAGTTTGCTGTCTTTTGTTGCAAAAACAGCGAATGTACTGATGACGACTTTGCCGATTCATTCTCATTGGCAATCGAAAAATTGCACTTTATTTTCTTTATTACCCTCCTTTGTCAAGTAAACCAACGTTTATAAAGCAGGGTTTAATTCAAAAATTGACGGAAACGGCGATCAAGTAGCAACTACGAGAGTTTAACAAAAAATTAAACGATCTGCTGATGAGCTTTTATATGATTCCATGGCAATGGAAGCTGGTTAGATTAGAGGGCTGATTATCAAAGGATATTGGATACAAAAGGAACCTTCAGCTTAGACATACTCAAAGACTGAATTGGATAGTCCTTGAATTATAGCTGATGTATTAGATTTTGTTATTCTAGTGATAGAAGTCCTAAAATGACAACTTTTTGATGAGATACATCGAACTAGTGATGAGTATAGTTGGTACTTAGATAAAATGCGCTTTTTAACATGCACTATGCTCAGTATGGTCTCAGTTACACTGCTCTGGTATTGCATGATATTTCACACCGTTATCAGCGTATCTCCTAAGCCTACATTTACCTACTGTTTCTATTCAGCAGAACTGAATTTAGGACAAATTCTGAAGGGCACTGACGAAAATTTTCTGCGGTCTGAACGTCGAACACGGATTATACTGTTTGGAGACTGTACGCTTCATGACGTCCCGACTGGACGCTTTGAGAGGAATATCGCTCCACAAAAATCTCATAAACCTTTACCAAAAAACTTTTTTTTTAAGAAAAATTCCCAAAAATCAATTAAAGTCTCATTGTTCCAGAGGCCTCTGACGGAAAGGAAGCAACAGAGCACCGAATATGGACATATGGACATAAGATTGCAGGCTCTGATACACAATCGCATTTGCAACCTAAAGATGCAAGAATGCAGATGAAGTTCTTTAAAAGCAAGTAGAACAAGCATTCCTAAATTCGGAAAGAAGAGTTAGGCTTCTATCCTTCGAAATTTATGCAGGATCTTTAGCCTAGAAAATATATTTCAGAGATACCAAAATATATTTCAGAACCTAAAAATATCAAAAGACTTATCGAATCTTTACCACTCGTTCGTGCTGCAAATAAAGTAGCTTTTCAAGGAGAGCTAGTGCCGTTAGTAAAAAATTACTTCTCTCATAAAAAAGGCTTGGGTACCAGTATTTCTAATATATCACCGATTATAGTGCTAGCAGGCAAAATATTAACATTTTTTGACTTCGTATTTACATGTATTTTTGGAGCCTGTATGTTTTCAATATTCGCAAACTAAAGTAGAATGTCTTAAAGTGAAAGCAACAAAACTGAAGCAGATTCCCAAATTTTAGTTTGCCTGATCTTTTGTAGAAGAGTTTCTTAAATTCCAGCAATTTGCTGCAAGAGTTTCCTTCCGATTGATTCCCTACATGAAAATTATTTTCAACGTTGACTAATTTCATTTTTTCGTGGAATTACAGAAAGCTTGTCGTGGCTCAGTTGGTAAAGCGTTCAGAAGCGTTTAACCCTTCCTGCCCTTGAGCAAACTATAAGGTACCCAAATTTCAAGCGTTCAAGGGCTCCACTCCACAAAAGGCCCGTTTGAGATGTAGCTTCTGCTGGAAAGAGGAAGTGAAATTCAAAAAAGAGAGTTTGCGACTCTTCTAATTTAAGTGAGAGTTCAGTTACCAGTTTGGACTGAACTGTAATCTCTAAGTTTCTGTTCTGTTAGATTTTAGATTAAACAACGGAGCAAGTGGAACACGAGCATGTATCATTTAAAGCTGCTGTTACGTTGGAATTATTGCTTAATCAACTGCCGGTTAGAAATAGATTAGACACTCCTCGGATGATAACGTCCCTTCCCCGGTTTAAGGGTATTGAACATGAAATTTTATAACTGATTGTTTCTGGCTGACATTCAACTTCCATGTCTTCCCTGACAGAGCATAACCATTGGACGATACCTGAGAAACCAGATTGGCAACAGCGAGAAATACGGTAGGAAGGTCTTAAAATTGAATAAAAAACATCATATCTAAAGAACTATAACAAATTATATACAATAATATAACCATACCTCTGAGACGCTAGCTTTCTTGACCAAACAAGACAGGTCTATCGGCAGACTGATAAATCTTATGTCTGCATTTACTTATATACTATTTGGCAAAAGAAAGAAAGTCCCAAACAGTGCCCACATATATCACATGATCGATGAACTTTATAGAAACAATCAGACATATGGAGAACAATTATTCTCAAGAATTGTTACACAGCAATTGAAAAGATGACAGAAATTCGAGATAAGGTGATTCTTTGCGTGTATTCACATCGAACTTTGAAAAGGTACACTGAATTATGTCATCTCAAAGGAAAATTGTAAATATATTTTCAGGTCATGTTTGATTATGACGAACCGGGTTCGGAAGCAAAGACCGTCAAACCATCAGTTGAAATCAAACTTGCTCTAAAAAGCATTGTTAGGTTGGTTTGCAGAATCTTCGTGATTCGTGAACTGGCTGCTAATGCTCAATATGAGATAGGCAGGTGCACATCTCAGGTGGTGCAAGAGCGGGTCGCCAAAGAATTCTCCAAATGTACTTGAAACCATAAATCTTATACTTGGTTTTAGCATGTTGAGCCGCATGAACCTTTTTCGCCCCCCCCCTCTCTTCCTATCAGTCAGAAATACGCTTCATGGTATCTGTATACAGGACTACCTATTAAACAATTTTGGGATTTAAATAAGAGGGAAAAAGCTCGGGATTAAAAAAGCTAGCTCTAAGTTTTCATTTCTTTTAGCCAAATCGGTTTTGCAGTCTAGTTTAGAAAAGGTGAACACATAATAAAAAAACCTACTTATTTCCCAATGTTTTAGACTCCGAAGATATATGAACAGCGATAAACAAATTTATCAATATTATGTACTCCATTCCTGCCTAAAACATTGTCTCTGTATTCTCATATGGCTCAAACTGGAAACAGTTTGGCCACGGTTTATTATTTCCACCAGTCACCCCTTGGGAACACATAAAAAATTAGGGCCATGGCACTGTTCGACAAGCATAGCTGCTAAATGTCTAAAAACCCACTTTCTTATGCCTAGCAGAGTTAATGAAGCACTGGAAAGCAAAACAAGTACTGCAACACAACTTCTATGACTAAAATACGTTTTCTAATAAGAAATAGGTTTGTAAGTGGCAAAGGCTAGAATCATTTCAACTCCAGTCAGAGCAGGAGCTTGAAAACGGAGCTACAAGCGAATAGGAAACTAATTTTCATTTTCTATCCTTAATTTACAACCTTTTATAAGTATTTGACATTATATTTTGGGAACAAGTCAGAAGATTAATCAAATTTTTTATCAAACCCTTAAAGGTGTCCGTCCATAGGTAGTGAGTTTCCACTAGGGAAAAAATGAGACCTTTACGCTGCGTGGAAAAGGGTTAACTGGCCTTACGAGCAACTTATGAGGCGGAATTTTCAGAACACAAGGCTAGGTGTTGAGGCAATTTGCTTATAAACGAGAAGAAACGCAAAATTTTTCCAGATATTTCATGACCCCTCCTGTCGTGTAAGCGTGGAATTACAGGTCCATTATCAGCTTGCTTTTTAAAGGAAGATAACTCATCATACTCTTCGACTAGAAAGCAAGACTCACTTTAACTGAACTTGGGTGGCATAAACTGAAATTGGTGACTTTCAAGAGGCTCATGACACCCTATCTAGCAGTCGCAAACTCTTTACAAATTCATAAGGAAAAAACATTTATCCATGTACAATGGATAAAAATGTGTCAAGGACAATCTGGTAAACATTGGATTTTTAGAGAGATTTTAAAACCCGAAAGGGTAAATGTCGCAGAATCCTTATATTAAAAGAAATGACCCGTCCAAATTCCATGGCTCTTTTCTTGATTTCTGAGAAGTAAAATCAGAAAAACATGTCAAAGCCACAAAGCATGATGGATTACACAGTCGTTTTTTTCAGCCTACTTTGGACATCCTGTTAACGTTTGGAAGTTTTCGACCACTTAGCAAAATTAGCATTAGTAACTTGACAACAAACTTTTCATCCAATAAAATACTCTTGTCATCATTGATTACCAATGGCCAAGATGATTACAAGCATTAATACTTTTTCACAATTACGACATACCACTAGGATCTGCCAGTGCACATTGATAAGAATCATCGTACACCTTCCTGGTTCTTAAATTAACGGGTTTGATATTCCAGTAATCAGGTACACTTTTTTTACAAGAACCAGTAAATATTTAAGTTCAGGCTGACTGTTCTTAATTTTTTCGAAAATCTGAGGCTGGATTGTTTTTAATTTGTTCTTAAATTAAGAGGGTGTAAGCAGTGCTATTGCTAGCTTTTTCGCTCTAAGGAGGTGTTCAGGCCTCATTTGCCAACAGAGTGAATGAGACAGCCTTAATTTGCTGACAAATTTGAATATTCACCGAAAAAGCACCCACACATCGCTAAAAATCCTCGATTTTGAGAAAAAACGTTGTTCAAAATTGCATTTTGCAGAAGCTCAGCCTCAGCTTGTTCTTAATTTGTTCTTAACTTCTGACCAATTTTGGGGCTCGTGTTCTTATAAAATTGTTCTTATAAAAAAGGAGAGTGTAAAATACTTTGTTTTTGGGTAGCAGAGTGCGGAGGACTAGTTTCTACTTAGAAAAGCCTCACCCTAAGAACGAAAATATTGGCAGCGAAGAAAAAAATCTGTGATGGTCGGATCACCCGAGCCAAGGATTTCAAGGCTCCTCATTCCTAGGTTTCAGCGTCAATGTTTTATAGCAGTTTTTCTCATCGTGGGAAATAGCCCCAACGGGAGCCACCTCTAGGGCACCTCTCCGTTTTCAGCCCGTTATGAGCCAAAATAAAGCGCATTGTCTCTTGGGTAAAAAGATTAGGACCGTCATGTCATTATGCATGGAAGAGATAAATATGGATAAGAGGACTTGGCGACTCAAAAGAAAAGGATTCAATTAAGATTTTATCAAAATGCGCTTTATTTTGGCTCTTTGCAAAATGTATAATATTTCCCAGAACTGGCGAGACGATGACACGTTTAGGCTTTGCAATGTCATGGGAATAGTGGTTTACTTTGAAAGCATATCTTCGAGGTGACGTCATGTACTGCATTTTCACACATCTGAACTCTTTTGAAGCAAACAAATTATTCAAAACGATGCTGAAATTCTTTTTAATTTTGATGCATAGGGCTGATAAGGTTTTGTGAAGGAAGGGTTCAAAACAAAAATACAAGATCATAGAAATTTAGTTATTTTGACAAAAAACAGTGAGAATTGAGAAAAATAAGGAAATTCATTCTGACAACACGGTTAACGATAAGGAGGAAATGAATGGATAAAAACCATTTCAAGAAACCGGTTTGTTAAAAAACATTTTTAGAAATAATATAAACTATGCTGGATATCAAATTTGGACAAAGGTGTAGACTCGAATAGGCTCCTATGTTCTATATTTGAATAGTTCAACGTAGGTAGATTTGCAAAACAGATTTGACTTTTGCAGCTCACTCCAAAAAAGCGTTATGAAACCATTTGGTTATAGAATCTGACCATTTCAAAATATTGGGACATTCTGCACAGTTCTGAGAGTTGCAAACAATCGATTACATCCAAATAAAGAAGTAGTTTGACATAACTAATTTTTTACACTAGCTGCAGTACACAAATATAATTAACCTAGGACTTTACATATATACAAATTGTAGGAATGTTAACAGTCAAGCCTTTCCGCAGCCGGTATCGGAAAACAGCAATAAAGAGCCAAACCAAACTGCGCCTGAAAGCTGGAAATCGAGTACCGAAGTGATGACGTCATAAATATCTATTTTTAGAATCGTTCAATTATGACGATGTATCCCAAAAGAGCATCTTATAAAACCTCCAAATTTGAAAAATAAGCTGAGCTATAGCCACATAAGCACAGGCTTTTTCCCCATCAAACTTCTCCAATTTGGTCTTGGTTCATAACTTTATGAATCAAGCCAGAATTACAGTAATCCGTTGGCAAACTTGAAATCTTTCATTGGCCATATCTCGCCCGATTTTGAACATATATACTTGATTTGCCTATTGAGATATATTTTATGCAGTTCTTTTAGATAATTTGGTAAAAATTAAGAAATCCAAAAAGAGATTTTTGATGACGTCACACTTCGGTACTCTATACTCGCCTGATTCCCCTTCCATGCCAGGAAAGAAATAGAAGTCAACATCATCAGATTTGCCTTTTAAGAACAAAAAGCATTCAGGGATTACCTAATTAATATAACTTTGCTGTTCAAAAACAGAATATTTTTACAGAATATTTTGTCATATAACGGTCTAAAACTTTGCTGTTCAAAAAAAGAATATTTTCATTGCTGTTCGGTGATTAAGCTCTTTATGGAACAATACAAGTCCAAAAGGCAGGAGCAGAACCCTGGAATTCAGATAGACCAACACTAAACAACTTGGATTCTTTCTAAAAAGCAGGGGACTGGTGATCTCCATACCCTAACGTACGCTAGATACGTCCGATTCCTCCAGTCTATTGGTTTTGAATGAACATTGACGAGGTAAAACTAGAAGCAGCAAGAATCTAGAAATGCTATCGAAGTTTCTAGAATATTTCGTGCAAAGAATGGGGTACAGAATCATTTTATGTAAAGAATGAGAAGAATTCAATACGGATCATTGCATTTGGCATTTAGAAAAGGATCCGTTAAAACTTACAAAAATTTATTAACAAAAAACAAGATCTGATACAGCAATATGCAGGTCTTGACATTTAGTTAAATATATAATCAGATAATATTTTAAACATCTCAATACCAAACAAGCATTACAAAGTAAAAAGTCAATTAGGCAATAACGCTCGTTCCTTAGTGCTGCAGCAAGCTAAACATCTTTGCTGGGTTTTAACGAAGAAAAAGAAAACTTACTTTTATATTTGATTATGAATTGCTAGGCCACCAACCATTTTGTTTTTTCCGTAAGCTGTTGAGCTACAAAAACAAAACAAAATTTCAAATTTGTTCCTCAGTCGGCAAGTTCAGTTAATGAAAAAAAGGAAAAACGTTTAAGACGAAGCATACCAAGTTGATGGTCACAAATCATGAAAAGGCAAAATACAGCCAAAAATCAACGCTGTTAGAGACGTATACACTACAGAAAAAAGAACGGAACTCCTTGTTTCTGTGCCTGAAAAAGCGACGATAGGCCTTGCGTTTAAACTAAGCATCTTGGTTCCGTCCTAGTTTGGGAACGGTCCCGTTCTTCTTTGGTTTCGCTAAAATATCGAAACTCTTTGGTTCCGTTCCCAAATCGTGCTTGTTTTTTTCTACTGTAAACAGCCAGGAACTGAACTTTTTGGTTACGATTAAAAACGGGGCTTAGTCTAGGGTTGGGGCGAGGCTTTCTGAAAATGTCAGACGTCATTACCGCGCCATTTCGCATGCTTCATATGAAAGTTCCGTTCTTTTTACTTAAGTGTCAAATTTAATTTGATTAAACGGGGTCAAATTTGGTTCCGTTCCTTTTTGCTTCAGTGTAAAAGCGATGAAAAGTATGCTTCAGTGGTATCGTGCCCAAACAAGAACGGAACCAAGAACGGAACCAAGAGTTCCGTTCTTCTTTCTGTCGTGCAAACGGGGTGATAAAGATGCCTGTCAGAGTCGTTATGTTGTAAAAATTGTATGGAACAATGGAGTACAGACTGTATAGTGGCAATGGAGCACATAAAAGAGGGGCTACAGACTATTATTAGCACTGATCAAAAGTACGGCAAAAACAAGAAGGAACTGGGGTGGTGCAATGGCTGAGAGAGTTCAGAAAGCACTGATAGCAGAGGAACAATTACATCACGAAATCATTTCAAGATTTACACGAAATCATTCCAAGATTTACACGAAATCATTCCAAGATTTATAATAACTAGGCGCCTGTTTTTGTGACAAATTAATTATTCGACGATAAGTGGAAATATTTTCATTACATAATTTCATGATCATTCTCGTTGTAACCTTCTGGTAACTTTCTAACTAATTGCAAATACTTCAAGAGTTTCTCTCATGAACTTCTGAATACGTTGGAAAAAGTACGCGAATGAAATGCGGCGATTGAAATGCGATGTACTACGTTTCCTTAATCTGTCCGTGTCAGTCAACTATCAACAATGGCAATAAAAAAGTTAGCTCTATTAAAGGTAATGTGTCCAGCTAAAGCAAGCAACTCTGCGGGGGTTTTCAGAAACATGTGATTTTTCATGTCATCGTCCCAGTCATTACAGTCGTTCTGTTTATCTACCCTGCTGCGAGGTTAGCTTTTCATGTGAGCAGTTTTGCATCGCAAGAATACTGGCCAATCGCAAACCGTTATTTTGATGTTACTTGACATGTTGGGTATACGCAGTCCTTTTATATGGACACATTACCTTTAATGGCATCTCTAGGGCACCTTCGATGGGGAAAATTTAAGACCACCATGTCAGTTTGCAAGGGCAGCCATTAATATTAGCCACAAATAGAGAGACTTTTTTCCTTTAATGTTTAAGCTGTAAATTGGCGATAACATTTTATCATAGATTAAACAAACAGTGAGACCAAGATGCGATAGAATCGTGATAAAAAACCAGCAAAACAAAAACGAAACTGATAAAATAGACGAATTTCACAGCCCAGTAGATGAGAAAATCAAAAGAGCATTCCACTCCACCAAGGCTCCGTATTCGCTTCACTCGGTTTTCGTTGATGAAAACACAATACGCTTTGAATAAGGTAAGTGTTCGCACTGCCTCGACTTCAACAAGAACGCTAAACATAGGCAGCAAATTGTGAATTCCCCATTTCAAATGATTGTGATTTTTGCGTGCCAAAAAGCACGTATGTTGTTGCCGTTGCTAGCGTATTCAAATGTCTCCATTTTCGGTGTTCACGCTGAAAATGGAGCGTATTCAATACACACAGTATCAAAGATATCCGCATACATTTGCGTATTTAAATGACTTTGTTTTCATAGCAGAGCAGTGTGGATGCAAGGCAAAAACGGATTAGTGTGACTCCGATTTCATTGAAAATGAAGCAGTGAGAACGGGCCCTTATTTCTTTATCGGTCTTGGGGAGGGGAGGGGGGGGGATTGATCTGTTTGCATCTTCCCTAGTTTCTGATGGTGAACGGCGTTTTGAGGCAAGTCCACAATCCTGTAAGCAGAAACCACCCCAAGGACAGTCAGCATAATTGGTCATTGGATCAATCAGCTAAAATTTACCTACAATTAGCATTTTTGTGCTTGGGGGGTTTATTCAGGGGGTCTCTACTTTTATACCTTAGCCAAAAGTGACGGTTTGGGCAAAATCTCCAAAAAGCAAATTTGTCGATAAATGGCATATGAGAAATACCAGGAGAAGTGTATATCGCAGAATTCCATCAACATCATCAAAACACGAGCAGGATATGTTTAACTTAAGATAATTTTTTTGAAAAATACCCACGAAGCAGCAAAATTACAGTATAATCCTCCAGTGGTAATTTTTCTTTAGGCTCGCGGCACTGATTGGTCAACTATACCGGTCTTGTGCTTGCGTTTTTCTGATTGGCCTATTTCGATCCACAACTGGGTATATATTTTTCATCGTGTTCTTTCGGACCCTTATTCTGATGTTTTATGCTCTGAGGGGTGTCAGACGAAAAAGCTTTTAGTATGTTGTAAAATGTTTGCTTTTTTCAAAGCCAATTACAGTATTGTTAGAAAAACTTGGTAATTTGGAGGGGATGAAAATTCTGATTTTTCACTTCATAGATCTCAGTTTAGTACGTCTGTACTTACGTCTAATGAAACATGAAAAATTATCTAGATAAAAGGAAGAAGCTGTTCAACAAAGAGCAAATAATCGTTGATTCAACAGATACAGTCTGTATCTTTCATGTACAAAGCTAAAGGTCAAACAATTCTGGTCTACATGCTTTACAACAAACCGTGGGAAAACAGAAAGAAGAGCTAAAGTTAAGATTTCAAAGAAGAAAAGAATTGATTCAACATTTAACAATGGCCGCAGATATATCAAATCCTAGAACTCTAGTCAAAACAAGTGGTTCACAACATTTCACATGTCTTGGGAACCTACAATGCCTGCCAAGTGTACTTGGAACACCCAGCAATTTACGCTAAATTTGATATCTTTCATTCCTTTCATGAAAAAAAATTACTACTTCCGCCCCCTTCCCCCTAAAACAATGTTGATCATTTAGAGAAATATCTATTTTAGGAAGCAAAGGAAAGTGCTTCCTAAAATCCTAACCCGTTTGATAGTAAATCAACATTGTTCTGTAGGGGAGAGGGGGATGATTGATTTTGAACTTTAAAATTGACGTCAGTGTTCCAAGACTTTTGGCAGGCATTGTATGTAGGTTGATTTTTCAATGTCGGTGACGCAAATAGAGACGCCTGTAAGATTATATTGGTTTGCAAGCTATCGGAGAAGAAAGGAGCAACATTCTGTCACGTATCACTCAGTTCCAGATCACAGTCTCTTCTTACTGTAAGAAGACGCATATACATGGTGGTCTAGAACAGGAGCATGTCTTTTTCTCCCCTGCCTTTGCCTGAGAATACGACAATTTCATTAGTCGTAATCCAAAAACTGCAAGCGTACAAGTAACGGTGTCTTTGGCAATGGCGAATAACATTCTTAAAACAAGTTGTACAATGAGCAGATAAACGGTAGTAAAGAGGATTTGTCGTCTGCTGTCGTCTGAGTTCGTCTGCTGTCGTCTGCTGTCGTCTGCAGGTACCACAGAACGATAAAGAACAAATTCGAAATGAAAAGACAAATTGATCGCACCGATACTATGTGAAAATATCCATAAAATTAAAATTTAATTAAAATTTTGTTGAATTCAATCTTGGACCAGAATAGGAAAAGACTTAAATGAAACCATTCTTGAGCAATCGAAGAATTGTCTGCGTTCACTAGGCGCCAAAACAACAGGATTATTAATTCCATTAAGCAGAGAAATAAATACTGCGATGGTTTTCGTAATTGAAACCCAACTAACGAACCTAAGCAGCTTATTTTGTCTATAAATTTTAAAAACCCAGTAGACCCCTTATTTTTATTTTGTAATATCATTTGCCTTTAATTTGATTCCTGTCAAACCGGAAGCGGAGACAAAAAGCTCAAAGTCGTTATTAGCTATATTGAATTAAGCGACCGTCTTCACTGCGCCCTTAAGAGGTATGGACGGATCTCATGGTACCCGAGCAGCAACAACAGCTTTGGTGACTGCGTAACCGTAAATTGCCCGTAGACAAGCATTCCTCGAAGGAGGTCGTCTCCTTAGAAAGAAGACAATGCTCGTGAAAAATGTTAATGCGGGGTATATGCGTTCAAAGATAAAAGGGAGTGGTTGTTCCCACCCCATGTCCACCTTTAGCCATGGGTATGCTTCATGAAAGACAATGAAAGTGAAATATGAATTCAAATTGTGACGTTGCTGCGAAAAGATATTTGGGTTATGAATGAATACAGTGCTCTACACACTGAAATTTATCACCGGTAATAGCACAAGCTTTAAAGAAAATGTAAAAAAACTAATATTTAATAGAAAATAGCCTCAATACAAGAGCAGCCAATTAAATTCCTAACATTTACTTAAAAATAGCAGTTAAATTTCCCAATAAGCATTTGAATTTCCCATACGTTATCAAGTACTTTTATTCTCAGAGTATGAGCATCGGATAATAATTGAAGGTAAGCAGAAATTCATATCCAGATGTTATTCGAAAGTAAAGTGATGGGAAAAATGGTGCGTTTAATTGGTTCCTTGTTTTTTAACCAATCAGTGGCCGCTAACCTAGTTACAGAGTCCAAGACAGAAAGCGAACACAAGTATAGATCCTTCACTGTCGTCGTTATATGTTTTGGCACACCCTGGATTCTCGAGTAAATGTTTTTCTATGACAAAGTCGCAATTTGTGCAACACTCTGATTTTAATAAAGAAATCTTCAATTTCTTGGTTTAGGGACAAGTTAGCAGAAACAGAAAAAAGTCATAGAAACATATTTTAAGAAGGTTTGAATTTTGACCATATACCCAACAAACACAATAAATACCTCGAAAATAAAATAAAAATCAAATCTGTTGCATTTTAAAAATAGATTTTTGTGACATCTCTTAAGAGATCTATCGTAGATATATCTGGCACAAGAATATTTGTGAGCTTAATTGAGACTTGTCATGAACAGCCGGCAAAAAGGCCAAAAATCGATCTATTATTTTTTCGCCTTTGATTGTCTTAGTTATCGATTAGAATGTGTTATTGCGAGTTATAAATAGTGAAAAACTACATTTGTTAACCTAAATTGTTTAATTTATAGAAATAAAAATTTTAGCCATTCATAAAGTAAGGCAGACAACGAAATTACTGAATTATCGCTTTTTACATTAAGCATAGAGCAAGGATATTTCACGAAAAACATGAAAAATTTAATAAACAAAGCCGATCACAAACCTCACTTGGGCTAAACTGTAATACAGTAGCAATTGCTGTTGTTAGTTGAAGTTTCACAGATTGCGAGTCGGATAAAATATAGCGAAGGAAAATATTTTTCACATATTCCATGTTGGCAGTTTCTCTTGTTCTAAAACATAAATGATACAAGAGATGAAGTCAATATCAATGGCTTGCATGAATAGGAACAACTATATTACATGACATCATGTTATACGACATCATATTTTTTGATATGATATTATAAGATATCATGTTTCATGATTTTATATAATATCATATCTTTTAGTATGATATTTTATCATATGATACCATATCATATGGTATAATACATGATAACAATATTATATTTTAGCATATTACATTTACAGTGTTATATTATCTATCACAATGTTATATTGTATTAGACAATGCATCATGCAAAGAGAACAGTTTTTCACACTAAGCATAAAAACACATTTTACCATACTTTTCTTTACGTTATACAATAATACGATAGCAATAGTACGGGCGATAACGTGGGAAGCAAAAGTCAATTATTCCCTAATAGCCAATATAAAAAGTCAAGCAACGATAAATAAAAGACAAGAACTGGGCTAAACAAACTAAATAAAGATACAAACAAATGACAAAAATATGTGTTAAGGCAAAGGAATTTGCTGCAATTGAAAATTTAGAAGCGCTAGAATAAAGCTTTCAGAGCTTCTTATTTATGTCAATGGTTTATATTTCGTCACCAATAATTTCGCTAATTTTTCAACACATTTGTTACAAAATAACCTTGAGTAAAGATTCATTTGAAGGAAAGTAAAAACCACAAGGTAGCAATGTTGAGTTTATACTGTTGGGTGATAATCTAAAATCCTGGTCACGCGTTTTCCATTCAGAAAGACGGTCAGGGTAGAAGCTAGCCTTGAAAAATGAACTATGTTAGAATCAGCCTAAACTGCATCTAATTTTATCATAATTTATACTAATATGCGAAGCAAGAGGCTTTTCGTTTAAAATAGCTCTAAGCATTATCATTAAAGTCTTACCTGTTTCTTTCCAACCTTCTAATTTCTTCTTTCAACGATTTCATCTGTTCAACAAATTGCTCTTCCCTGTACACCAATTAAAAATTAGTGCAATAAAATATCCTGGTTGGGTCGGTGTTATGGCAAAATCTTAAAAGAGAGGGTTCTAATAATCGACGACTCGTTAAAAAGCTACTACATAACTTGACAACAACACAGTTTGGCTGTTCGTGCTTTTCATCCTTAAAAATTATACAGGGTTTGTTGCATCATTTATTTATCTATTCAACAGAAAGCAGTGGACCTCCAAAAGCATTGCAGATTCAAAGATATCTGTGCAAGACCTTTTCAATTCAACTGGCAAAAAAACCTCTAAGGAAGCATGCTACTATTTTCTACTCATTTCATTGAAGTCAAATGCTTTTTATCCTTTATTTCAGAAGCAATTTTGAAGATTTCATCGATCTATTCAATATGACCATTACCAAACGATTAGAAAATAAACAACTGTATTAGTGAACCAATCAAATGTATAAATCAAATCCATATACACGTAAAATTGTAACAAAGAAATGCTAAATTACAAATAGTATTTGATGAATAACAACATTTTTCAGCTAAAACCTGCTCAACAATATTATTCCTCAAGGTATTTTATTACTTGATTCTATTCAAGCGCTGAATGTAACTAAAACATTTGGCCAACGAAGAGACTGGACTCTAATACGTCATTTCAAAACAAAGTTTCAATCCTACCTATGCTCTTCCTCGCGTAAAGAAGACTCAAGCTCCGAGTTTTGATTCCGTAGATTTGCGATCTCGGTTTGTAAATTTGTCATCTTTTGCAAGTAATATACCATTGTTCCTTCAGACCCTGCCTGAAAATTCGGATAGTTTTAATTGGTACAAAATTTTCGAAAAAAATTAAAACCTATCAAAATGCTAATTGCTATCAAATATTTCCTTGAGTATACCTTCTATATTTCAGTCCTTTACTGTGTAGAACAAAGTGCTAATATATTTTGCCGCAACTTGACTAATCAAGCTTTCACAATACAAAACTACCTTTCTAAGAAAATGCATTAAAACTTACGCTATTTTGCCTTGTCAGAAGCTGTGTCACAGCAACTTCAGTCTCAACTGAACGCTTTACAGCATTCTCTGGGTCTGCTAATGAGACCCCACTTGCCATTTTTTCATAATCGTTACTAATTTCAAGTCGCTTTCTTTCAACAGGACTCGCCAAATCACATCCTTTTAAGCGACGAATTTCAGTGTCCCTGTCTTCTAATAATTGCAAAGTTCTTTCTCGCTGTTTAACAATTTGTGTTTCTAAGTTTGTAATCTCTAATTTATATGCATCGTGAATTTTATCAACTTCAGCTTTGTGCTTCTCCCCGATTTCTGTCAAATCACATTGAAGATTCGATACAGTATCAATATAATCCCTTTCTTTGTCTTCAAAAAACATGTTTAATTTCTTCAGTTCCTTTTCCAATTCCTTATAATTTTGTTTAGCAATCTCTAATTCTTGGTTATCTAAAGTTGCATTTTCGTGTAAAACATTGGATTTTTTTATTTCTCTTTTATAATTTTCAAACTCATCCTTCAGTTGCTTGTACTCCAACTGGCATGCTCGATGGGCTGGGTCGTTGTGAAGTATGTTATCTAGCTCTGCAGCTGTTATGGGATCCGTATCTACGAAAGTCAGAAAAAATTATCTTAAACAAAAAGTTCTATAAATTTTGTACGTTTTCATTTTATTTAAGGCAAATATATTCTTGCAGAGTAACAATCCATACAAGTTCTGATATACAATAGACTTGATTGTCACTCTAATAAAAACCATCAAATGCATTTGAAAATATAAAATATAATTTTTGCATTAAAGTTACAGAATAGAGGAAATGAGATCGCGAAATGAGATTTCGCGAAATGAGATTCTTACCAATATTGTCGTTACAAACATCTTTACTGTTCCATGCTAGCTTCAATAAACCTTTTAACTTCAAGATCTGTTCCTTCATATCGCTAATCTGATTGTTTCTATCTAATTTTTCAATTTCTGGACTTGAGACACGCTGCTGTGTGGTAGAAGAGGTTAAATCGATATGAGACAGCCTCTCCTTCAATTTTTGAATCACTTGCTGATCTTGGTACCTCAGTTTTTCATAACTGCTGACGACATCAGACAATTCTGCGAGTTTTGTTTCTAAAGTATGAGCGAAGTTATGAATGTATGAAGTCTATACACACATTTTTGGCAAGCAATTTACTTTTCGAATAAAGCACAAAGAACAAAAATTATAGTAGCTATTTTAGGCAATGAATTTTTTAGAGTTTCTGATAGTCTACATGAGCTTTGATACAGAAATATCAATGCATGCAGAAAGCAACGTCATCAAAAATTGTCAAAATAAATAAAAACGTTTTTAGGCCGGCAAATATGAGAACTTGTTTAAACAAAATAAGATCATGAATTATATAGATCCTGATATGGTTGCTAAATTTCTAAATACACAGACCTTTTTGACAGCTAAACTTCGTAAAATTGCAGCAGAGCTACGGTATTGGAATAAGGTTCAGTTCATACAATAATACAATAACCCAATTTGAAAAAAACGATCACCAAAATAAATTAAAGTCATGTTATTCAACCATGGGACTTATTTCATTCTAGGGGTCTTAGAGGGAACAAGGGTAAACTATATCTAAGGTTTATTTTTAAGGTAGCCAAAATGCCAACAGTACTTTCGGCCAATGCTAGGGAGGGTTCACAGAAGAATGTAGACCAAGCCAGAGCTTTCGGGTGATAAATTATACAATGCATCTGATTGGACGAGAACGAAATTCCATCTTGGTGAAATAAGGCTTAGAGCAAAAGGATTGTTTGAGGAGACAAGCTTTTTCTTTAACATCTTTCTTGTTAGAGATGTATTCTTGTGGGGAAGGGGAGGGTTATTTAAAATTTCTCGCCTGAACAGGGGGCTTATCAAAGAGGGAGTGATAGTCAATGTTTGTGCATTGTGGAAATTTATCGGTAACTACTCTAAAAAACATTAGAGAGGGGGCCTACCAAGCTGTGCTATTCGCTCTTCTTCCATTAAAGAAAACCTTTTGAGCGCATCTTCTGCTTCATTCGCTCGTGTTTGCTCCTTTCTTAAGGCATCTGAATGGTATTTCTTCAAAGCTATCATTTCATCCGATATTTGGAGCAGCAATCCACTTGGCTGAGACGTGTCAGTCTCGAATTGCTTCAACTTCACTGAAACATTAGCAAGCTCATCAGAAAGTTCTTGAATTTTCGTCTCATATGCCTTTTTACTACTGAATTTTGTGTCTGTTTCTCTTCTCTGAAAAAGGAAAGAATATTTCAAGGTAAAAGGAAAGAATAATCCTGACAAAAGCTGCTAAGATTCATAAAACGTATGTATGTATGAAGTTTAAAAAATACTATGATAACACGTTCTACACTTGTATCTAAAGGACAAAAAATATATCAAGCAATGTGAGGCATTTTTTAACAGAAAAAAGCTCATCGGTAATACATTTACAAACACTTAATAACCAAAGTTCCAAAAAAGCAAATTGGTTTTTGGTTTCACTTTCTCCTTTATGAAAATTGTAGCAAAACAAGGGGGATAAAAATTTGGAAGATAGCACTTGCACGGAAATTCAAACATAGTCTATCATATTTGAGTAAGAAGAAGCAAAACTCTTTTCATTTCCATTATTCTTGATATAAACAGCTATTTCGATTACTTTATCAAAGATTAATCGACAAGTATTCCACGAACAGGACATGAATTTTCAAGGCAAAATAAAGATAGGGCCTAAAATTGGATTTTAATCTCAGAAGAATAACAACTGTTCGGTGATCACCTCCTGCAGACGAATCTTTAGTTCTTCTTTTTCCAGTCGTTCCACAGATACCAACTGTTGCATCTCTTTAAGCATCACTGCATTGTTTTCTTGTTCCGTTTGAAGTTCGGATTGTTGCTTTCTTAGACGTGTCTTAAGCTACGAATTTGAAAAGTTGCTCACTCACTCTATAAAAATAATTTCAAAGAATATTCGAGTATTGTTAAAGATCCAGAATAAATTTGAATTTAGTATGAAAGAAGGCAGTTTTCAATGTTAATTTTTGGAGAAATTCCTGCCTTCTTTTCTTCTTTCCTCTTTTTCTACTTTCCTTCCGTCCTTCCTTCCTTTCATCCTTCTTTCCTTCCTTCCTTTCTTCCTTCCTTCTTCCTTCCTCCCTTCCTTCCCTCCTCCCTCCCTTCCTTCCTTCCTTCCTTCCTTCCTTCCTTCCTTCCTTCCTCCTACCTTATTTCCTTCCTCCTACCTTATTTCTATCTTATCTTCCTTCCTTCCTCTCTATCCTTCCTTCCTATTTCCTCCCTTAATATCTAACCTTCCATTCTACCTACATCATTCTTTCTCTCCTTTATTCATTCATTTATCCACTCAATTATTCATCCCTATATCCCTTCCTCGGTTCTACTTTCCCAACTTCTACTTTCTCATTCCTACCTACCTCTATCTCTTTCATTTTCGTAGTTAATTCAAATGTTTATTATTTCTTTTAATTTATGTCACTCTGTTGCGTTTTATTCTTGTGTTTGATCTTCCTTTCATTATTGTGGTATTGGTTCATTTACTCATTTCAAATGTGTACATTTTGGTCTGTTTACTTTTGCTCTGATGAAGCCCCATATGCTGGGATGAAATGTGAGCCATAACTGATTCATGTGTGTTTGTTGTCGTTCATTCTCGTTGCATTGTGGTGTTACTTATTTACTACTTCTTTTCATGGTCGGAAATTTTCTCCCATGCTTTGGCATAGAGGAAATTTAGAGAAATAGACAACATTGTTTTTTGGATTACCTTTGTAGGAATAAGAGTATACAAACCTCTTGGATGCTTTCAATAAGTTCAGCATTTTTTTCTTGGAGAATCTCAATTTGCTCTTCAGATTCTCGAAGTCTCTTTTCGTGTTCTTGCTGCAATGTCAAAGTTTAAATGCTTCTTACATCTCATAATAAAAGGCTTATATACCACAGACTTTTCTTCACAATAGAAAGATTTTTTATACCTACAGCAGAAAAAGAGGAATAGCACACTGAGATCATTGTACCCGCAAAGTTTCATAAATAGATGTAAATGTGGAGTAAGCAAGCAAGAACAAGAAAAACAATACCAGTTTTTGATTTAGAGTTTGTATGACAGTCATGTTCCTATAATTAATAAATCATAAAACAAATACACTTACAATAGCCATCTTCTTGTCTGTTTGAAAAGCTGCTTCCATCTTTGACTTTTCTTGAGTAACTGTTGCCAAAGCCTTACTGAGGGTGGATATTTTTTCATGAAGATGGTATGATTCATCACCCTCATTTTCTTCACAATCATCATGTTTGCACTCAGACTGAGAAATATCTTCTCTGCTTTCATCTGCAATACTTTCTGTATCAGTTGAATCATTTTTATCGGTTGTCAAATCTCTCACTATCAAAGGGTCTGTATATCTTGATTCCTCATTTCTTTTGCCTTTCTTTTTACTTTCTTGGCTTGGTTTAAAAGACAAAGCTTTAACTGTTGATTCTAAAGCTTCTTTTTCATTCTGCAAACTTTTGTAAGCTTGCACAACATCTAAAAAGTGCAGCAAAAAAAGCAGGTAAACCGGATGGTTTTATAACTCATAATTTGAGGCAAATACTTCATACTTCATATTCTTCATTTTCTAGCAGTTTGTAAGTTAGTTTTCTTTGTAGTCACAACCATCTTGATCAAAAACCCTTACAATGTTTGCCTACAGGAGAGGCTTCAAGAAAGGGTTCAAGGAAATTTGTAAAAAAGGTAGTCATGAAACCAGTCTTTGAAAAAAAAATTAAGTAAGTTCTATTCTTACAGCACATTCCCAACTAAATTGCACTGTCAGGATACACTTGCGACAAGAGTGTAATTTTTTATGCTCATGTTGTCAAATACAATATACTGAGCTAATAATATGAAAAAGGTACATTTAAACCAAAATTTAGGACCTGAATCCAAATTTAAAGTCAGAAATTGAGTTCAGAAAGTTTGAATTATTTTTAAGTAAAAAAAAGGCCATAATTTGAATTGGTGTATAATATCATCACCACCTCAGTCACCATCACTGTTGTCATGGTCACCATAATTCTTGTGATAATATCAAATAATGATTTGTAATACTATTTCATTTAAGAAAAATCCTATGATGTAAGTGTGCCACTTGGCATATGCAAACAGAGCTTTGTTTTGTATTGTTTTGTCAGTGTGCGTATCGACCTGTATAACGTGTTACCTATCTGTGTTTTATTTTTCGATGGATTTTCATGTGCTTTATTTGGGGCCCGGGCTTGATAATAATTAATGTAATAAAGTAATTATCATAAAGTAATTAATGTTATTTTGCTTCATCTGTTTTTCTGTTGCTATTCATTCAGTTTTCAATTTTTGCTGGAAGTTTATTTCTCGAGGTTTGTTGAATTTTAATCTGCCTCATTTCTTATGTTGTTTTTATTTTTTGGGCAAATCCCACCAAAGGTTTTTTTACAAAAAAGAATGTATAGATTTCGTTTGCGATCAAAAATTAACCCATACCTCGAAGTCGAGTTTCGTATCGAAGTATCTTTTGCTCTTGCTCCTCGATTTTCTCGAGTAGCTTTTTGTCATTTCCTTTGACAGATCTGAACATCCTTGAATTGTAAAAAATATTTTTAAAATGATTTTCAAATGTCCCTTTTCCTACGTGTCTAGCCAGCTGCCATTTTTGTTGTGCGACAGCCTCGATTACGATTCTATAACGAGTCGATTCCAACATGACTTTTATGTTCAGGGATCAAAAAGGTGCACGTGAAGAATGAAAACTAGCCTAACGTTGGAAGGGATTGCACGAATAAATTTGCTGTTCAGATGATAGCTTAACTTTTACGCGTAGGCTGCATTCTTTGTTTTTATTGTAAACACTCAGTTGATTTTAGGAAATACTTTAAGAGATTGAGGATTTTTCTTTAAAGCAAAGAAAAGTGCATATTTGTTAAAAGTGTATAATTCTAATGCAAACGAAAAATATTTGTTGGAAAACACAAAAGGAGCAAAATAGGCTAAATAAATTCAACTTGAAGAACAAATTACAATTTGACAGTTAAGTTTATAGCTAAAAATTCATCCTGATTCCTTGCATGGTGAAACTCTTCTTTGACGACAACAAAATCCTTTTTTATTTGCCAATAAGTTATGCCCTGTAAACATAGTAGCCCCGATCCCATGGTGGAACATGTCTGATTTTCAGGAGACCTCTGACTTGGATGTTTCTTTTAAGGCCAGAGTCAAGAATTGGCACTGGACACTTTTCATTTCTTTGGAATAATTAGATATATATCTAGATATTTGTTTTCTAAATTAAAGTCTTGGCTTAGAATCTTATACCCACTTGAAAGCCTCCGTTGAAGAAATGACATTTTACCCAGCACATACCTCCATCCTATTTGTATAGAAAATATATTAAGTATTTAAGTATTGTGGAAAAAAGAATGTAGAGTCATTCCATGCCAATTCAACAAGCCATGACACCCATCATCTCAGAATTGCTTCAAATTTTTATAGTGTTTTGATGTACTAAATTTATGAAGAAATCCAAAAGTTCAGCTTAAAATTTCAATTGGTTGCTGAGATATTCAAATTTAAAATTCATCAATTTTTCTGCCAAATTTGGCATAGCGGCCATTTTGAATTTCTTGTCTGCCGAACACTTAGGATTAATTTCTTTATGGATAGTTCATTGATTTATCAATCCAAATATAACTTTGCACATACATTATAGGGTAATTGGTTATCTCAGAAATATCAATGCTATTCTCTAAAATAATTCCCTTATGCCCCTTGAGGGCCGTAAAGTTTTGCCCCCTAAAATCAGGATTTGCTGACTCAGCATAACGGCTCTTATTTTGATTCAATATATTTTTGAAGTTTGAGAAGTTTTATGCACTCAAATTTTTGCAGGCATATTTGCCATTATTTGAATTTTAACATATTAAAAAACTGGGATGGTACTTTGCTCTGTTTTCCATTTATTCATCACCAACTTTTGTAAAAAATCTGTTCATAATCGAGGCAATTATGACTTTGAATCGTGTAATAAGGAGTTTGATGTTTTCTATTGTGACATTAAAAAAGGTTCAGAAAATTTATTCAGTGAAACTGTTTCACAATCTTACCACAAATGAGTTGTCAAGATTGTCAAGCTTTGCAAACAGAGAGCTTCAAGTACAAGTGTTAATAAGCTCATATATGAATCAAAATTATTTGTCAACCAGAATTACTAAATTTTAGCTCAAGATATTAGTTAAAATAATATATTACAATGCTACAAATGTTTCAATGTTTCATATTTATTTATTTCTGCTTGGATCAAAATATGCTCATTATCTGTAAAATAGTATTGGCGTCCAGATGAAGTTGTAGGGGCCTTAATAACACATACAACGTTTGTTACTGGTACAAAGCACTTATCTTCTCGTCTAGGCCAATGAAATGATTTTGATGGAAAGGCTGGGTGCATAAACTTTACTTCAATATCACCATTTGCTTCATCAATGTAGCATGCTATACCAATCCACACATGATCATCGTAGTAACTGACGAGAAAGTCAGAAGCTTTAACATTGTCTTTCCCTTGTGCTTTGATACTGTAGCTCCTAAAATCAAGTCATACTTTATTTCATACTCGTGATCACTGGAAACTCGTTTTGCTGCAATTACACTCTGCGGCTGTATTGGTCATCACAGTAGAAACTTTCCACCAGCTCCTCTGTTTCTTTAGGTAGCTTCCTTCCTCTTTTCCCTTCAGGTAACTCAAACAACCCCTTTCTTTTCGAAGCTTTCTTGCTGATCTCACCATGTAATTTCTAACATTAAAGAATTCTTGAGTCTTAACAACTGACCAAGAGGATGGTACCATTGTCAAAATTTGAATTTTTTTTTTCTTGTTACAGGCTTGTAATTTTTCTTTCATAAGTAACATGAGTTCATCTAAATCTCTTTCCTTTTGCAAAAGTTCAGGCAAATTGTTGTGTGCTTGTTCTTCTACAATCAGAGACTCTCTTGGAACACTGATTACACTTGCCACTGTTTCTTGGAGGCTTGCTTCTTTCTCTTTGAGTTTTTCCTTTATTTGTTGGAATTTTCTCTTTCCATAAGACTCCCTTGAATGAGATGCAACTTCATGTAATTTTACAGGACTAACATCCATTTCCTCCAGTGATGTGCTGAGATACTCTTTATGGAATGAATCATCATTATCATGAATTTCATCACTGCTAGTGTCATCCTGTACTTCTCCACTTAAATCATTGTCATGAAGGTCACTAAATTTAATACGGCATTTCGGACAAAGCTTTTGTCCAGGTACCACAGGAATATGGTTGTCTTGAAATACTTTGGCCATTTGAAAAGTGATTTCCCGCAAAGAGCTTTTACTTCCTTTTTTCCCATGAACTTTGAATGAATCACAGCATTTCTTTTGAAGAAATGAGTATCTCAGAAGAAAAACCTGTTCATGGTGTAGGCACACTGTTTCAATTAAAGTTATAACAATTTCAGTCCTCCATGCCAGTATTTCTCTTTCTTGAAGATCAAATAAGCTTATGTCCTTCAATCCAACTTTTTTGCTATATGTAAGCAAATTGCAATCACTGGAACTTATTTTCCCTATTGAACAATTTTCAGTCATCTTTCACATTTGAGAAGCTGTTCTAATGTTGACCATTTAGGATTTTAAAGATTCTAATACCAGTAATAAATTTTCTGAACCTATTTTGATGTCACAATAGAAAACATCAAACTCCTTACTACACAATTCAAAGTCATAATTGCCTCGATTATGAACAGATTTTTTACAAAAGTTGGTGATGAATAAATGAAAAACAGAGCAGAGTACCATCCCAGTTTTTTAATATGTTAAAATTCAAATAATGGCAAATATGCCTGAAAATATTTGAGTGCATAAAACTTTTCAAACTTCAAAAATATATTGAATCAAAATAAGAGCCGTTATGCTGAGTCAGCAAATCCTGATTTTAGGGGGCAAAACTTTACGGCCCTCAAGGGGCATAAGGGAATTATTTTAGAGAATAGCATTGATATTTCTGAGATAACCAATTACCCTATAATGTATATGCAAAGTTATATTTGGATTGATAAATCAATGAACTATCCATAAAGAAATTAATCCTAAGTGTTCGGCACACAAGAAATTCAAAATGGCCGCTATGGCAAATTTGGCAGAAAAATTGATGAATTTTAAATTTGAATATCTCAGCAACCAATTGGAATTTTAAGCTGAACTTTTGGATTTCTTCATAAATTTAGTACATCGAAACACTATAAAAATTTGAAGCAATTCTGAGATGATGGGTGTCAAAAGTCACTTTTGCTTGTTGATTTGGCATGGAATGACTCTGTAAGAGTTATTGGTTATTAAGGGATCATACAATAATAGAAGTTCTGTTACCTTAACATTACAAAAGTTTTTGTGGAATAATGTAATTTCAAATATTTTGACAAAAATCTATACTTTCATCAACAATGGAATTGAAGATGGTGATGTTCATTTGGTGCAAACTTTGTGCTAAACATAAAGCTTTATTCTCTTGAACCCGCTTTGCAAAGGCAGTGCAAAGGCAGTGCAAAGGCAGCTGTTGAAGCCTACATCAATGGAACAAATTTTGAATGTTGTTGATTTGCCATTATATGAAATTATCGTTTTATTTTTGTCAGAGAATCGCCATCTTGTTTTGTTTATTCATATACTTTTATTATCGATTTTCTAGAGACTAAAAATTGCCCACCTATTTTACCAAGGAAAGCAATTTACCGCGCGCCTGCTATAATGCTCATGGCCAGGCCTGAATGACTGATCTGCCCTTAACATTATCAAGACCCTTAGGCAACAAGTAAAATCTACCTAACTTAGAAGTATCTTTAGCCTGTAAATATCCAGTCACTTCCGCTATACCCGGGTCCGCCTCCCTTAGTTCTTTCAACTTAGAATTAATGGTTTTACCCAATTCTACAGTGGGGTCCACCTCAACCTCCTCGTAAACCTGCTTATCATATAATTGTCGATTAGCCTAGCACTTATGTAATCCCCCCGATCCCAAACTACAACAGCTGAACCTTTGTCCGCTTCCTTTATAACTATATCCCTATCACATTTAAGATTATTTAAAGAAGCAGCAAAAGATAGTTTTCAAGAAGGGGGTCCGATTTAGGTGGTTGCCAGTTAGATTTAATTTTAAATTTGTTAAATGTCCTTGTCCCTAATGTCCTCATTATCCTTGAAATGCCATTTCAGTCTAATTCTCCTCTTGAACGCCTCCAGATCTTCCTTCAACTCCGCCTTGTTAATATCAGTGGGAGTGGGTGAACATTTAAGGCCTTTAGAAAGAAGATTGATGTCTGCTTCTGACAATACCTTTTTGGATAGATTCACCACACTTCCATCACAAAACTTAGCCTGCCGTTATCAAGCAACTCAAGTATAAAGTAGAACTATCCATGGGTGTAGCAGATGCTATGCAGAAGCTACCTAGACAATACATCAAAAGAGTACCAGCATTCTTCGTACACAGCGACACAATATCTATGTTTTTACCTAGTTTCAAATGATTAGCTTTGAAATGTTCATACACACTGTTCTGATAATTTTTCCTTTAATTAGATCAACCAATTTGGTAACAATGGCTTTTAGACAGCGAATACCAAGATTTTTTACCAAAATATTCAGAAAGCAAGGAATTGTAGCATCAGATTATTCATCAGGTATGTTGATTTCTTTCTCATTTCTAATAAGAATTAGGTACTATAAAATATTAGTTTTAAGAAAGATAGCGTCTGAAATCATTTCAGGGAGAGGAGAGGTTTATAATAACAATAATTTCTGATAATAATTTTTTTAAGCAATCATAGTGGCAAATAATCTGCTGCAAAAATAGGATAGTATGACTTTATAAAGTAGTGAAATTGTGATAAAATATTCTGAGGTCTAAAAATCTGTGTTTCTTAAAAAAGGTGGAGAATTCCAAATTCAAATGACCAGACTTTTTAGTTTTTAAAAAGTTATTTATGACAACTAAACAAAATGTAGCCTTTATTTCATAAATTTATTTTGGTGCAGCTTAGGAACCAAATACACTTTATATCCACACTCGACATTGTTCATCTGAACCTTGGGTTTTATAATTCCAGTTTGGAGGATAGGATGTGAGCATTGTATCACTTATCTTACGAAATTAAATCTTTTACTGAATATTTTGAATGTAAAGTACCATAGGGTGGTCATCATTGTGCAATTTTTCCCGAAACAGGCAAAAATGGTGAAAATTCTAGCTATTGGAAGTCACTGAAATGGTTTAGTATTCCTGCAAGTGTCGGTTTTACATACATAGCCTATTTACAGTTTCGGCATATTCAGGAAAGAGAGAGGAGGAATATGGCACAAGGCGCTCCACAAACTCGAGTCTTGGAAGAGTGGCAGGTAACAATTTTTTTTTTTCAAAAACATTTTACATATGGTGACACCTGTTTAATCTGCTGGTATACAACTTTGTTTACAATTTTTATAGGCATTTTTCATGAAAATTGTTTGTGAATTTCCCCAAAACTCTTCTTGAAGTTTCCTAATTCTTTGAACTTCCAATAATTATATCGGTATGCAAGCAAACATTGTGAAGGTTTTTTTCAAGTTGTTCACATAAACTTGAACTTCAAAAAGAGTGACCATGTACTGAATGATAATGCTTCATAAGAGCATTCAATAACAGCTAAAATGTTACCAAATGTTGTGCATGCTTATTTAATGAGCAGTGGTATAAGTCCATGCAAATATTTTTCCCAACTTAAAGTGAACATTTTATGTTTCTCTTTATTTGAAAATATTTGTCTCAAGGACAAGTTTTCTTGTGCAAGAAAAATACTATGTTTTATTGGCCCATTTGAACTGTGCCATGGTCACTTGACTTTGCTGTTCTTTGTTGATTTGAGATCAATTGACTTGTGTAGCACTTGTAGTGCAATCAGAAATAACATCAGATGCAAATGCAAAAGTTATTCAAGATTTCAACATCTTGAATCTTTTTGGAAAGGTTTTGGAAACATTACTATAAATGAATATTGCAAAAAGTTACAAAAATCACCAGGATTTGTTTTGTTCAGAGGGCAATCAATCATTTAACTGCCTGAATACCCACGTGAGAGGAGTGTTTTGAAACCAAGGGTTTTCAAAACAGGTAAGCTGATTCAAAATTAGGCTGAGAATGTTCATGTGAGAAAAGTAAATAAGCTGCTGCTTATTTTCAAAGAATCTTTCTTGTTATCTGACATTGATATATAATGTCTAGTTTTTATATCATCATATGGATACATATCTTGGAATTTCACACAATGGTTTCTGCAAACACAAAAGGGCTCTCTAATGATAGAAGTTTCCATGAAATAAATTAATGGTAAATATATTTTTGAAATTCGCAATGCTTTTTTGTTTTCTTTTCTTTTCAAAAAATTGTGTCTTGAACTTTTTGACAACTTTTTGGTGTTTTTTTGTAAATGCAGAAAATTTCCAAAATTGATATCCAAAATCAATGCAGAACGAAATTTGACTTTACCTTCGGTTCATATTACATCATAATAGTCAGAACTTATTACTTTAAGATATTATAAGATATTTTGCTAAAGACTGAAATTGTTTTTTAGGTGAATGCACTAAAGAAGCTCCCAACAAGGGTATTATCTCGTTGGTGGGGATATTTATCTCATCTTAAAGTTCCAGTATGGTTAAGAAAGCCTATATTTGGTCTCTATGTCAAATTATATGATTGTAATATGGATGAATCAATGATAGAAGATCTGAAGCAGTTTCCAACATTCAGTGAATTTTTTAAAAGAAAACTAAGACCTGATGCCCGTTCAGTGAACCAACATAGTGATATTGTAAGTACTTATTAGATTTCATTGATTTTTCATTGTTCCCTTGAAAATATATTTAAATCAGCTTTTAAATTTGTAACCTGATTTTGCTAGCTTTGTTACATATGAATTAAATTCTCTACTTTTTAATACTAAGATATTGTTATATTTTTGTAGGTAAGCCCTGTAGATGGCAGAGTTTTGTACTTTGGTGAAATAGATCCATCATATAACATGGAACAAGTGAAAGGGGTTGCATATTCTTTAGTATCATTTTGTGGTCCAAAACATCCTCTTGTTAAAGAGATAATAAGAAACAAAGAACAACTTCAAAAACAAAAATCTGAACATGAACATGTAGAAATCACTGATAAGACTGTTGAGGAAGATTCAACACTAGGAAGCATTTCATCACCCACTACTCTAGATAAAACCGGCAAAGTCAAGGGAAATGAAAGTGTGAAAAAGAAACTCTATTACTGTATCATGTATCTGGCTCCAGGAGATTACCATTGGTTTCATTCTCCAGCTGACTGGGTCATAGAACACAGAAGGCACATACCTGGTAAACTTATTTATTAAATGTCATTGAATATCTTGAAAATGCAAGATTTATTTTCTTACTGCCTCTTTGAGCGTTGAATAAAATTACTGTTTGTGTCAGTCTTGAAGTGTTTAATGCTGTATAGGCAAATATCTTACACATCTTATAAGTAGAACAGAAAGGTTCTAAATTCTAACACAGAGTTTAATACTTAATGTAATTGTCAGGAACGTGAGGGAATTACCATTCTAGAGTCCTCTTCTACCATCTCTCCACCACCTCCTTCACTCTCAGCCTCTTCCTCAACTCCTTGTTTGATACTCTGTTCTCTAAAGCTCTCAAACACCTGGTCTGCACAGCTTACGAAACAACTTCCATTCCATAGAGAAGGGAAGCCATTTCTGTCCTTTCCTATACTCTTGTCTTGGTTCTCAAATTTTTCACCTTGTTGCTTGATTTAGTTGACTTTCTAAGTAACTTTTGTGGCAGAAGGCAAATGAAAGAAAATAATATTGAAGGAAGTGGACATTCTGATTCACATCAAAACTCAAATTAACAAGCAGAATCATTTTGAAGCCTTAGCTAGAAGGCCTAACATTTCATTGCACATTGATTCACTAGTTGTTATATGGTAACTTTGGAGGGAAGGTCAAATGATCCTGCAATGTTGATTGAAAATTTGTGAACAAATAGTAACACAGCCACAACAAAACCACGGACATGCCCAATTCCATTTGCCTATAATTATTACATTAAAATTTAAACTTTTAGGACAGAAGAAAATTCAGAAAAAAGTTTTCATAAAAAAGTTTTGATTGTTTTTTTAGAATTTCTGAAAAAAATTGGACAAAAGGTTTTTGCATGGTACCACATTATGTGCTGAAACTAACTTTGATTTTACATTAATTGATAATACTTCCATGATATAGATGTAATAGACTATTTAATTTCTATGTAACTTGACAGGGCAATACTAAGAGAATAAGAAAAACTAGGGAAATATAAGGAAAATTTAGAGCATCACATAGGTAAACACTTTTCTGGGCTGTGGACGAAACGGGACCCAACCAAATATTTTTAATTGAAAGAACCGGATTGGCAATTTTTGAGCTGACTTATCATATTTGAAAGCTGACTAAGTGCAGGCAAACTATAAAAATCTTGCCAATACCCTGCAGTTGGGTGGGAGTGGGGGGCTTCACAGGTCCATTATGTGTTACCTTTATTCTTTAAAAGCATAGAATGAATAGAACATAATATTGAAGGAGATTCTGAAGAATCAACATTGGCAAATGTAGCATTAGCTACACATTTATGTTGTGAGCATTTCTATCAGAAGGCCTGGGTGTTGGAGTTCGGTGATGAATTAAAACCTTACAATTAAATTTCCCTAAAAGGTTTTTTACACCTACCATTAGATTGCACACGTTAGATTTGACTGAATCAATTAATATGCAACTATTTTTTCTGATGTCTTTATGATTGCATTCTCTATATATTGGTTACAAACATATCTGCCTTTTTTATCAGGTCATCTTTTCTCTGTAAGTCCTACTGCAATGCAATCAGTGGCTGGTTTGTTTAATTTCAATGAAAGAGTCCTTCTGTATGGACATTGGAATCATGGCCAGTTTCTCATGGCTGCAATTGGAGCCTATAATGTTGGGTCCATTCATTTACCCTTTGCAGTAGAAAAGGTATGTTGGAACCCCCTTTTTTAGATTTTCATAATTTAAATCTTTAATTCAACTGCAAAGTATCAATGTTTAACACACAGTCAACTTTTTTATGATGTTTTACTGTCAGGAGGAGAACATTTGTAAAGAGATGTAATATTTTCTTGTTCCTAATTAGATATTTTTTCAATAAAGATGTTTAATGTTTTTGCTTTCCAGTTTGTTTTGTAGCTAAGTTGGAAATCAAATAATCAAAAATAGAAAAAATTTTGATTTCGGCTTACAAAGTTGTTAGCATTTTTTTCTAACAACAAGAAACCAAAATGTGTTTGAAAATTTTGATGCAACTTTAACAATTCTGTTTACCTACAGAACTTCAAAACAAATGCTGGTAGACTAGAGATGGCCTACAATGATAGACTTTATGGTGCAGCTGGCTTCACATTTCAACGTGGTGAGCCACTTGGTGGCTTTGATCTAGGTTCCTCCATAGTTTTGATATTCAGTGCACCTGGTGACATGAAATTTCACATTGATGTAGGACAAAAAATCAAATATGGTGAGCCTGTTGCCACTTTTCAGTTTGCTGATGCTGGCAGAGAAAGAGCAAACAAGGACCACTAAAACTCAAGCAAATGATTATAAGTACAATTGCTTGTGATAAAATTTTGTTCTGTATTAAATATATGAATTGGTATGCTTAAGATAAAATAGATGATTTTTGCTTTCTCTTTGTTGCATGCTGAGAACCGGCAAGGAAACACAGTCTGATATGCGTAGGAGACATAGGGGCTGGGGGGCTGCAAAAGACATCAGGGCTATCGGATTCCCTAATAATAAGGTAAAATTTGTCACATTTAAGGCTCCATTTGGCATTTCTATATCAATGAAGCAAATAACATTTGGGCACTTCAATAATAAGCCCCCCTTCAAGCAATTTTTTACCTTAGCACAGTCCCAGGAATGTAGGTGTTTACGAACAACTCATAATGGTTTTTGGGATTTTATAGAAGTGGAATTTTTGTTCGAAAAATAGATTTTTTTCTATTTTATTTATTTATTAAATTCTTATTTCAACACGATATCCCATCAGAAACCTAAATACAAGTTATGATAGGCTAAAAAAAGACTAATAATGGAAGACAATATTTTAAAAAATTATTTAATAATATGTGTGAATTGAATTTGACGTCTGATCTTCCTGAGAGATTTAGTTATAGAAACATGCAGTCTTAGATTTTGAGGGCACTTGCTGCTTCTAGACATGTAAAGTTTTGGATAGTCTTGAAACAAAGACCAAGAGTAGGTGACAGAAACGATTTTCAAGTTCAAAGTCTTCTAGCAAATTAGCTCCTTTAGTCTTGAAGAAAGTTTTTCAATTTCCTTCTCCATTTGAAAGCTATCATCATTGTTATTAATAACAAAGTCCCAGTTGGCATAATCATCTAAGTTTGTTTCTGTCTCACAGTCATCAATTCCTTTTGTAAATATCCAGCCACGTTTCTCTCTTATTTTGTCTTCTGCTTTTATCCTCACTTTCAAGTTTTTGAATTGCTCAAAAAAATAAATATCAGTAAAGCGTCTGATATCTGCAATGATCCAAATTCTCACTGTATTGTCTAAAGAAGTCTCAACAGCCTTCCTGCAGAAATAGGTTGGGTCACTTTTACGTTTCCTTTCTCCCCATTCCACCATATCAATTCTGTATTTTTCTTTATAGCTTGATGAGTCCATTAGACGATCAAAATTCAGGCTATTTATCTGTCATAATGGATTGAAAGTGTAATATGTTAGTTTAGTCCTAGATATCAAAAACTGAAAAATGTAAAAAGCTTTGATAAATATTTAACATTTCTCTTCATTTGTGAAAAACCCTGACAAATGTAAATGATGATTCTGGTTTGCTACAAATGATTTAAAATCCATTAAGAGTGTGACAGAAAGTGTGACATTCTTTGTACTATTTGGATCTAGATTAACAAGTGGGATAAAGGGTTCAACTAATTGGCTTTGCTCTGTAACTCAAACATTTTTGACCCATTTTAACATGATTACTAGTCTTGCGAACCACTGTTGGCAAAAGAAGGTAATGGGTCAATAAATTCACATTAACTAATGAGCAACCAAAATTCTTTGACCAAGACATAATAGTGCTTTGTTGGGGGTAATTTATCAATTCATGCAAGGCCCTAGTGCAAAGTGATAATGACAAGACACATGCTTAGTCATACAGACTAAGTATTCTTCACAAATGAAATTCTAGATTTCTGAAAACTAATTTCAAAATAATGCAGCAATGCAATGTATTTGAAAAATACCATATGAATTTTCAGTTTCCATGTTATCATCCTCACAACTGCTATTTAATTACTCCAAGCCCTCCCCCACCCCATTCCCAAGCAGAACTGGTAAGTGGCTCAAATATTTATCAAATATTTCCACAAATATTCCATTATTTGTGTAAGAACTATTGAAAATGCAATTATAAGTCCAAAATTTAAAATTAGGTCTAAGCATATGCACACAATGAAGATTTGTCTGTAGCAATCTTTCTAAAAGGTCTTCATAGAGAAATTCAATATGAGCAGAGAACATGAGGACTTTCAACTAGAACCTTCAGTTATCAGAAAAATTATTACGCCTTAATAAAAACAGTAAGTGCAATGTGAAGAAAGTTTTATTTGCTTGCCAAGAAATCACTAAGCTCTGTTTTCATTTCAATTCATATACCAACTACCAAAATCTGCATTGGAACGGAAACACTGGAAGGATGATTGATTTTCACATTTTTCTTTTAAAACAATACAATAAAACAATCATCTTTGCTTATCAAAATGGTCAAATGTACTCAAATTATGCATTGGTGTTTCAATTTTGGTTTGTTTTCAATTTGGTCTGTTTTCAAAGCATGTTTTCAAATCTTCTTTTTTGATATCAGATCAATCAGAACATAGGGCAAAATGATATAATTTGATCCATTTTATATAAATATAAAGTAGAATAAATAGGGTAAAATGGATCACTATGGTCTGACCACCAATTCTTAATTTTTGACTTTCAAAATTTGCTATTTGCCTCAGCTTGCAAACAAAGTATTAAGGGTTACAACGAAAATTTGAAACAATACAAAGCCAAAGGTTAGGAATTTACAGCTTCATAAGCAACTTTACCAACCAGATCAACAGATCTAAATTTTTCAGGAAGGGCTGTGTTGCCTTTTTTATGTTGTGTCTCTTACAAGCAAAACATTGTTTGTGTGGGAAGTCATTTGTAAGGGGACTGATGAAGGTGAATCACCCATGTAAGGCAACAAAAAATGATTTTTTGTTCTTTTAGACACCTGTAGTTTATCTATCCATTTGTCTACAGATTCACAATCGCACACTTATCCAAGAAATACAAAACTGCAACATGGCTACTTTAGCAGGTGTAATATTTTTGAAAAAGCAAACATCATACCTTGGCATACTCTCTTTTTAAGGGATCGGATATATGTAAAATTGTTGAAAGATCAGAGCCTAACCTGAAACCAGAAATGATCTGATGATACATGATGAATAATACTTCTGTTGCAGGATATGGCATTATAAATATGCATATTTTACAGGGTTGTTTATGTGTGTTGTACTAAGACCTAAGATGCAACAAGGCTCTTTCATAATAAGTTTGGTTGTGTAAAGACTTAATTTTTTTCCTAGGTTAGCTTTATAGGTGTACCAAACTGGCAAGAAACAAGTGTGAAGTATCCAAAACCATTTGATCACCAATACTTGCCAAGCCATCAAAGTCCAATTAAAACAGGCAATTACATTGATTGTAGATTATATGTTTGGTTGCAAAAAAACATGTTTTGGAAGTTTAAGCTGTGCAGTTTCCAGATTTTGGCTGAATTCTAGTAATACTTGCAACACCTGCAAAAGTGGGCCAGTATGAAAAGTATAACAATTGTTTAAGAGATCTCTTTTGTGCACAGAAAGGAATTGCTCAGATGCTGATCATGGACCAATAAATTCAAAGCAACAAGTCACTTTTGACTGGAATGTCCAAACCCAAATGACCTTAAGGAAGAAAAAACAGCCTTGCACAATGAGCTTATGCAAATTACCAAGAGAAGGTATGGCAGTATCAATCCAACGAGATCTTGGGTGTGCAAGAGCTAAATTTCAAGTGTGCAAGTTTGCACTTCGGTTAAGTATGCTCATTTGTGCTCATTTGCTTGAGAAGTCAAACCCTGGTTTAAGGACCTTGCCAGTGGCCAGTGGTCCTGGTAACTGTCATTTTTGCTATTTAATTAAATACGATTGATGTTATGCTCACGTTCTAACAATTATTTTGATTGGTCATTAGGCCTACTCTTTAGCTTCAAACTACTTTTAATATCAAATAACTTTTAAAAACTTCATCCATAGAAAACCAAAATACAGCTTTGCTTGGCAGAATTACTTACTTTTTGTGTACAGTATTAGAAAAATAATCTTTTCCACTCTTCCTTTTCCCGCTGACAAGTATCACCAGTGGATCATAGTCTCTTTGACCCGCCATTACACCAGTCTCGTTTGCCTGTACGAAATACTATAAATCAACTTATTGGCTCCCTGGGGGGGGGGGGGGCTTGTAAAATCGAGGGGGCTTGTAAAATCATTCCCAATCTGCCGTTTTGCAGTTTTTCATGTACATTTGGAATTTTACTTTATAACTTTCTATGACACCTAACCAAAGTATAAATCAAATCATAGAGTATATCTTAGACCAAAATATTGATTAACCCGTTATTACTAGGATGAAATTTCACTGTATTTGGCGGTTTTTTCATTAGCATTGGTTTTTACATTCATCACTGAATGTGTTATCAATCGTGGACAAAATTTGTGTATCTTTTTGTTGTATCTCTAGTAACCCCCAATGGGGGCTACAAATTTACCTGATTAAAAAATCATTGCCTGAAATTGTTTAGCTGCTGTCACAAACCTATGCAATACATTTTGTCAATCTAACTCTGTATGATAATAACGGACTTTCCTAATAGTTTTGTCAAATATCTATATCGGGACGGGCAAAGGATATAGTTACTACCTGAGGCGGCACCATGGTTGCCGCCGAAGAAGGAGGAAATTTTCAAATTTTGATGCTTCCAGTTCACTGGAAAATGCACTCTTTTATGCAAATTTCACTAAAGCAATCCTCCTAATCCTATTGAAAATTATTTTTTTTGCAAAAAATTTTTACAGCAGATAGAAGCAACAATTTCGCCGTGGTCTCGAAAAATACCAGGCTGTCAGCTACTTCTAAATTTAGATCCCTCTCTCCATCTTACCATGCCTTTTGAATGTTAAGCAAAACCTGGAGCTCATAGTGAATTGCAGTTTTTTTATACTACACTTCAACTACAGTGCAACTAAGTATGTATAGAATAACTCACGGCCCTTTTCAACTCGACTTGTGGCAGAGAGGAGCCGAGAGACAACGACTTCTTTCGTCAGCATTTTGAACCAACAGCAAGATGCTTCTCCCAAAAAGCCCCCCTCTTAAAACTACTACAGCGTATTTATAGATACAAGCATTTTACAAGTATTAAAAACAACCAATCAGCTAAAAACACGTAAGACCTAAAACCAAAAGAGACATCGATAATTAACAGCGAAGTTATCCGGAAATTAAGTGTTTGCCAAATATTTAAATTATAGCCTACAATGGTTCGAGTTCAAAATGTCAAAGTTAAAAAATTAACATCGTTCGATTTGGTGTACAGCAAGTTGACGCTTCTACTGAGAAACTTTAGGAGAAATGGAGACAAGGTACAATTTTACCTAAAGAGGGCCTGGATTTTTAGATTTATTGCCAACAAGCAATCTTCAAATCTTCAAATAATTAGTTTGTAGACCTTCATTCATATCAAGGAATATCATATTTAACCAACGGAGCAACTACCTTTGCTTGATCCTTTATTGATTTTATGACATGAAGGTCTCTGAAATACCTAAAGCGTTTCTTCCACCGAGCGGATTTTACCTGAAATTTCCTATTGCGATACTATTGGGGGAGGAGGGTTTGACACCCCCATACCCCCAGTCGCGACGCCCCTGAATATCAGACACAATCTTTCAAAAGCACTGTTCTCGCAAATATGCACAATTATAATAATCCAAATCACACGTGTGATTCCATAAATCCAAATGCGTATTCTATGAGATCATGCGTCATGCCGACAAGATCTTTAACAAGCATCTTGCCACATTAATTGATCGTCGAGAACCTAAACATATATAACATCAAATCTTAACCTTATCGTACTTATCCATAACTCAACACACCCAAAATATAACATAAACAAGAACGAATTAAAAATCTACATAGTTACGTATTTACATAATAATAATGAATGCTAAAGATATTGCTCCCAACACTAATTACATTAACCGAATGATAAAACCAAAAATCCCTCAAGAAATAACTAATAAATTTAAAGCTGCAATTGAATTACAAAATGAACTATAAACAATCGAATGTGCGAAAATTCAGAAATTACTATAGTTACAAATAACAAAATTAACGATGTTTTAGCACTATTACAGAGTGGGGGCTTATAGGAAAGAGTCTCATATGAGGAGGGGGGCGAATTCGAGGATTTCGGTGAAAAAGTGTACAAGAAGGTACACTCAGCGAACCAAAAGCGAAATCTGGTGAAAACGAAGAAATTGAAACAAGTTTACTTATCCTGCTTTTTATTCACGCCTTTAACCAAACCAGAGTTGATGTAAGGGGTAAATTGAATGTGCACTGTGAATGTGCAACGATCAATGCAAAAGGTCAGCATCTAGAGCTGGTTTCCCCAAAGATGGAAATTTTATGTTCACATATGTATTTGTATTGCGCACCATATAATGCAAAAGCTCACAATCGCGGGTGAAAGTACAAATTTCAATCTCCTTATATGGCGTGATTCCTATTTCATATTTCATATTTCATATTTCATATTTGATTTGCCTTCAATGGAAGTTGTTTTCAAGGGGCCCTCTAATAAAAACTAATTATAATATACAATTAAAATGCTAGAAAATAAAAAACCATAAAATTAAGAGCCTATTTACAATCACATGGTATTTTAAAGTATAAAAGGAACTAGTCAACCCTGTAATGATTTTTTGAATCCACCCAGGGAGAATGCCGTCCTGCACAAGGTTACCCTGTTATATGCCCCTTTACTCTGTCAAGAAGTTATCATTGCCCGAGAATAGGCTCCAAAAACCCAGAAACACCGTTTTGCTTTGACTTGATCATTATCGATGCAACAAGGAGCAATTAGTGGATTCAAACAGGTTCGTAATGCTTGACGAAAGGGTCAAGATTGAACTGTGACTGCAGAGAATATTGAAGGGGCTAAAAAGTTTTAGGGGTCAACATGCAGAAAGCCTAAGCCAAGGAGATTTTTTTGCATGGTTTAAGTACATTGTTTGTGTGTGACACCCCCTCCCTCTAGGAAAAAGTTTCATTGTAAAAACGAGAGGCTTTTTGCCATCTAGGGGTTCTTCATCGGCAAATTATCACATTTGTTAGCAAATGAAAAGCCGAACACATTCCTTTTGATTAAGATATCCCAATTGCTGCAAATAAAGGTAATTGAATTCAAAGCAGTGAGATAAAGTTAAAAGTTTGAAATTTCCTAACTAAAACACTACAATGTGATGTTGTAGTATAATTTCCCCAGATTTCAATATTTTTATGAGCGATATAATCCGATAAATATCTGCAAACGATTCAATCCAGCGATACAATCCCGATTCAGTCAAATAGATACGATTCCAATTCCGAATACATCCGTCACGTCTGTTCTCTCCAAAACGTCCCTTTTATCTTACAATGAAGCTGGCCTCATTTAGACCAACAGGAGCTGTAAAACTGACTTTTGACTGGGAAGGGAGAGGGATAGAAGGTCGTGAAAAAAAGGGCAAATAAAAGAAACTTGGGACAAAAAATTTGGCTTGGGGGAAGGGAAAAGCCCAGTTCCTTTGACTTTGAAAGGAAACTCCCAAGTCTGGAAATTTTCCACCGGGAATGGTTTTTGCAGGGCTTGTTAAACTGGGGTGTTCCATCATTTTGGCGAATGCCATTTCATATTCTGATCACAGCACGTTACACGTTATCACTGATCACTCTAAACCTTAATAATTGCTACAAGTTGTACCTTTCTATACGATTCCACTTAATTAGCAAAACAAAGTAATTCATCATTGTTCCTACATCGACACGTCCAGAAATTAATAGACAGCTTACGTATTTCACATCTTATTCAATAACGAATGACATTACTCGCGATGTTTGAAATATAGGACATTTACCTAATTATAGAATTAACTGGTGAATCAGTTAAAAAATCAACGAAGCTTATCCTAGCATTACCGATATGAAAAAGCTCCATATTTTAATGCAAACAAAAAATTAGCGGATGTTACTGACGCCAATTGATATTTTACAATAAGAATCAAGGAAAAGAATTAGGTGCTGGAGTTATGGGGTAAGCCTTTCTTCCCATAACGAAAACCCTTGACTGCAGAATATCAAACTGTGGCGGCGGAGGCAGAGGCAGAGACGGAGGTGAAAGCAGAAAAATGGCAGAGGGGGAGGCGGAGATGGAGGAAAAGGCAGAGGTAGAGGCAGAGGCAAAGGCAGAGGATAGACAAGATAGAGGTAGATGTAGAGGCAGAAGTGAAGATGAGGTAGAAGCAGAGGCAGAAGCAGAGGCAGAAGCAGAGGCAGAAGAAGAGGCAGAAGCAGAGGCAGAAGCAGAGGCAGAAGCAGAGGCGAAGAAGAGGTGAAGAAGAGGCGAAGAAGAGGCGAAGAAGAGGCGAAGAAGAGGCGAAGAAGAGGCGAAGAAGAGGCGAAGAAGAGGCGAAGAAGAGGCGAAGAAGAGGCGAAGAAGAGGCGAAGAAGAGGCGAAGAAGAGGCGAAGAAGAGGCGAAGAAGGGGTAGAGGAAAGGCAGAGGTGATACATTTGAACAAAGTAATATTGGGTTAAATTGTTTAAAAGAGGCTACTCAGTTTATTCTTTAATGAGATAACGTCATTTTTTAATCCATTTCGAAGTTCACGAATAGCAAGAATGTAAATAACCGGGTCGAAAAGAACAGAAAGCATAGCTATAAACCCGCTGTAGCGATATAGACTTAGCATATATGCGTCATCAACCCAAAATGACATAATCTGCATCACCAAAGATGGAAAAGCCAGAACGATGTAGTAAGTAGCGACCAAAACAGTGCCAGCTGTTTGCTTAAGGCGAACCTTAAACGTTATGCATGATGCATGTATTCTTGAGGGATTTTCCCTCATTGAAGATGAATCATCAGCTTCTTGATCATCCCTGATCCGTTGGCAATTGTTATTCGGGTGAACGCTACAACTTCCAATAGGTGTAACTATATTTACTTCTCTCAATGCAATTTGAACGACGGGCTGTACTTCGAGCTTTCTTCTTGCGAAATCATACAGCAAACATTGGCTTGCCGATATCAAGAATAATGCAACAGAGAAAATTGCAATAATTACAATCTTCAAGTAGATGAAGTCAATAAGCAG